GCCTCGCCGCAGCTTTCCTCAATCCGAGACAAACTACGTCACAATTGCGCCGGATGTGACGTGCTCTCCGCTGCCTGCTCTCCGAGCGCTTACCACAGTGAGCCTTTTATAACGAAACATACAGCCGTCAGGCTCGAAGTACAAACGTGCGATTGTCATTTACGGATATTGTGGATCATATTCAGCCTATTTCTTAAGGTACCTTTTCCCAACATACCTCAGGATTTCTAAATGAAACGAACCCAGCACATTTTAGTGTGCGACACCAAGAGTGGCAATGTGTTATTGAAGGCGTAACTCAGGGTTCTGTACTGTCTCCACATTTATTTAATTTGTATGTATAAATGACCTCGCAAAAACTCCTTCTGGATGTGAAATATTTCAATATGCGGACGATACTTAGCTGGTGTCACGGCACCTCATTCTGTGCTGTGCAGTTGCCTTACTGCAAAATGATGCGACGCGTATGATGGACTGGTTTGATGTTAATCTGATTAAAATTGACATGAATAAAACAAGAATGATGTGTTTTAGCAGTCATTTGAAGAACTGTGCGCCTCAAGTTGTAATATCGGCACCGGATACATTAAAACGAATGTGCCAAGAGATCAACAGTGTCAAACCACAACATCATGAGTGCGACATAAACCGCAAGCACCGGTATGTCAAATGCTGCAGTGGAGTGGTGTATGAAATCCCTTTCACATGTGGGAAAGTCTCTATAGGAGAGACTGGATGCTGCATAAATACACGACTGAGAGAACATGCTCTGACTTTGAAGTCAACACCTTCTTGGACATTTAGCAATGCACATGCGAGATTGCTCCTGCACACCTTTGCTTTCGGACACAAACGTGATTAGACGTTTCCAAGACAAGAGGACCTTGGAAATTTTTGAAGCAAAGACCGTAGAAGCCAATGGAGAGAAATGCTTCTCCACGCCATTTTTGGCGTTGACTGAGAAAGACGTTCAGTACATGACAATCTTCGGAATTACGCTTGCACGAGGGCGCGTGAGGTGGGGCTCCGGGTGGGTCCTCGCTCTCGCGCCGGTATCGGGAGTATTCACTGGCGGCCATAGCTGTGTGCGCGAATGCTGAGCGCGTGCTGATGGCGAGCTTCGACAGTTCTTTTGCAACGTGCATTCCGCACCATCAAGAGTGCCGGTCTCAGCAGCCTATTGATGTGAGCTCGTTCCGAGCATGCACTCTAAACTGCACCCACAAATATGGCGTCTAGTGAGTACTCCCTATAGCATAGGCTGTGGTGCCTGTTGGGGGTAAAACGTATTATAGGCTGTACGAGTCACTGATCGGCGACCTATGAGCGATCACTTGTTAGTCTTTCATTCTTATTTTTGTCTTTCACGGTCTAGAGGTCATTTTCTATCCTTTCAAAAAATATTATCATATATAGTTCAAATTCATTACCTTTGTTTCATTTTTAATATTTTCGTTTTGGTCTACTGTTAGTCTTATTAGTCTAACAAACTACTTTCTTAGAACACCCCGGCTAGAAATAGAATTATTTCTTCTTTTTCAGCACCAGTCACTTCCTCCACCTCCTTCTTTGTCGTTGTTTATAAAACCGTCAGTTGTGAGTTAGCGCCTGTTCTGTCGGGGGATCGGTGGCCGAGTGGTCTAGCGCACACCAGCTCGGAGCACGTGGAGCGAAAGCTCGCGCTGCAGAACCCAGAGATCCTGGGTTCAATCCCCACCCCTGCCCGTTTCGATCTGGATAAGCATCGTACCGGCGTGCGGTCGTGTATCACTACTGCGTGGTGCACGTTAAAGACCCCAGGCTAGCAGTTGTACTGCACTGGTTAAATTGCTTATCTACAGTGGGTAACAATGTCGCCATGTTCTGGCAGACTAAACTCCTGCTGTATAAACAACTAACGACTAATTTGTTTCGCCTGTTCTGTCCACTTCTTCGTCTGTCCTTGTCTTAGCGCTATTTGTCATTTAGTATGTTAAACTGTACTCCTCTCGAATATGTTAATACAACAAAATATTTAGGAATTTTCTTTGATATAGTGATCTCTCCTGAAATTCTCATTTTAGTCATGTCGCAAACAAATTACGAGGTGTATCATGTTTGTTATATACCGCAAAGACGTTTCTTCCTTTTACGGTTCCAAAAATGATAGTCAATGGTCTTGCCTACAGTTATAGGATTACTTTGTATGCAAACTGTTCTGCGCTTTTGCACATTACGATTGACTGCATTTTAAAATGTCTTTTAAGAGGGGTATAGCATACAGATCTACAGAAATTACCAGTGACGAATTGTGTAAATATTTGGTGCCTGCCACGTTTTTTTCCCCCACTTTTTCAAAGATGTGCCATCAGTAAGCATTACTGGCAGGCAGAGCACTTTCAAAATCCCTCGCGTCCCTTCACGTTTTTTTGCGTGAAAGGGAGTGTTTAGTTCTACGTGCTTATACGAAATATGACAAAAAGAACTCCGCTCGTTCTACGTACCTGCAGTAATTTTTAATGGCTTGCGTGATGCGTGTATCGATATAAATTCAAAAAGACAACTGAAAATACGCCTAAAAACAATTGGCTGCGGTAAGATTGCTTGGTGTTATTTCAGTGTACTTTTATTTGTATAATTGTATTGTTATCGTTTCCGTTTTTATTTTTTTTATTTTTAACTGAACGTGCATTTTGTTATTTTGTTTAGGAACCAGCTATCTGCAACGTCGAGTTCTGGATTTGGCGTTTGTTTTGTAACATCTGTATCGTAACTGTTACCGCAACGCGTGGCTTTTCCTTTTATCATATTTTTTCCCCACATTTTATGGTATATTTTTGGGGGGAATGACACTCTGTTTGCTTTGTGTAGATATGCTTCTAGCGAAAGTGTATCCTTCATCGCCCATGCTCATTTTTCATTCTCTGTATGTAGTTTTTGAATATTCCTATGCCGCTGTCGCGCACAGTCCCACAAGCTCTTCTTGACTTTCGACCGGTCCGCGTTCATATGTACTAATATGAAATATGTGCAATGAAGTTCTTGTTATTATCATTATTATTATTATTGTTATCATGTTACCTTTTGTCTGGCTTTGACAGACCCGCCTCACTATCAAGTGAACTACACGCGTAAATAAACATTATTATTATTATTATTATTATTTGTCTCTGTGTTTTCCTCGTGTTTAAAAAAAAAGGTCACTGATCACTGTTCTTGAACACGCAATAAACATTATTATTATTATTATTATTATTATTGTTGCTTAAATTTCTCAGTTCTTTCTCATGTAAATCAACCGAGTGGACGATACCACTACTACTAGGCTACAAGAGCGAGCTCTTTGCTCAAGGAGGCAACTCGGCTGCACGAACACTCGCTCAGCAGGATCGCGACTGCCAAAGATAAAGTTTAGAGCTCGGGCTTCTAGCAGTCCAAAAATACCTTCAAAATACAAGTTTTTTTTTTCAGATATATTTTTATTATAAAACTCGTGAGAAAAACAAAAACTGCCGTGTCAAAGAAAAAAAAATTGGTTTTTCCTTATGCCTGTTGAGCTAAGCGAACCGTGCGACAGGACGACGACAGCGTGCTTGTTCTCGTTATATTGAAAACTGCCCGCACGTTGACGTTTTCAAATCTGTTTTGATATCAGATGTGGCGCCAAAGAAGTCGTTATATGCAAACAAAAACTAAAGATGTCATGGCAAAACAGAGAGCTGAGAGGACGGGGTCCCGTCACTAGAAAATTTACTGAGTGTTGCTGGAAGAGTCGGCTTCTTTGCGAGGTGAAGCACCACTGCACTTTATTTTTGAACCAAAATTTCAAAATTGTAATATTTAAGAAAAAAGTAAAAGAAAAAAGTACGATGACAAATGGGTTAGGCAATGTGTACATGAATTTTTTTTAAAAAGAAATTCAAGGTGATAAATATTGGAAAATTGTTGAATTCAGTTCATGTGCAGGCGAGCTGAATAGTCTGTTGTCCAGGCCGGTACAATAAAACAGGAGTTGTGCCCGTATTTACCCTGTGCATGAGCGAAGGCGGGGGCGGAGTATCGGGTACCGTTATCTGAGTAATCGGAACCGTCTACTAAAATTTCCTTTAGTGTCGTCACACGTAAATGCTTTTCACAATACACGAAGCCATCGCACCCGCAGGCACGAGCGCATGCATTTTCGCAGATATCAGCCTTGCTGCGTTTCCATTAAACGACCCGAAGCAGGCCCCCTCTTCTCCGGTCGCCGGATTCATTTGGAATTCCGCGACAAATACCGCGTCCATCACATATTGCACCTTTTTCGCCATCAAAAAATACCCCCCATAACACATTTCGGTAGCTTCGTACACTGCCAAAAAAACAAAAAAAAACACTGCGCCAGACAATCTAACGCCGTTTCCATGGCAACCATTCCAAAGCAGCCGACGACCGCCGCGCCCCTTCCTAGCCTCGAACCCGAAATCAGTCACACGTGACGCCATCCTCGCACCCAGACGCGTCGCCTGTTGCCGGCGCATTTTGCATTTCCTTTTCGTCGACTGCCCCGTTTGTGCGTTTTTAAACGGAAAAAAAGAAACAAAGAATATCTGAGTACGCTGCGAAAAACAGAGCCAGCCTTGGCGAAGCTCCTCCATCCACCGATTACAGTGGGAAAGGATTGCGACGACGCGACCCACCGTATCGTCGTGTTCCGTGCGCGCTCCGAGAGCTCCAGTGTCGCTTTTCCTCCATTGTTTCGTTTCTGTTTACTTTTTCCGCGGGATCGAAGATGGTTCCGCCGTTTTGTCGTCGTCGAAGTGCCGGACTCGCGCGACTGTGTCGGTGCACCGTCCGCCGCTACGGCCACCACTAACAAAAAGAAGAGAAGGCCGAAGAGATTCGTCGGCGGGCTGCGTTGCGTCCGGCCTTCGATCTGGAAGTGATTCGCTGAAAGCGGTTTAAGAAAAATCCTTGTCCTCCTAGTCTGCGATGCGGCCAGCCTACGACGATTTGGGAAATGCACAAGGTTAGTTCCTCTCTTGTTTCGTGCTGTTCGGGTCGGCGGTGGGGGTGTGAACTGGAGTGAACCGGCAAAAGAAAAAAGAACGGAGCAGGGTCCACTTCAACACCGCCTAAAAATAAGCGACGGTCTGGAAATCGTTCCAGCTGGCAGTTCCCTGCGCTAGACAGAGCGTATGCACTTGTGCGTTGTCGTTGAGGTTTGAGCTGTATTTATTTTGGTTGTTTCAGTGGGGCATTTTTGCTTGTTCGCCGTGTTTCGGGGAAGCAAGGTTTAGTTTTAGTCTCAATGTTCTGCGGTCAGACCCTTGAGTTTTGGGAATGATTGACGCGCGTTGCGATTCGGGCGTTTTATGACATGCGTCAAGCGTGCGTGTGCTCCGATCTTACCGTAATCGCTAAACTCTCAAAAACAACAACAAAAAACCCAACATTTTTCACGCATTATTTTTCTTCATCAACCGGCAAGCTCAGCTTGTGAAGAAAAAAAAGAAGTAGAAACGAGCAAATTGTGCAAGTTCATTTTCTTGTTGGCTGAATCATCGCCAAGCATGTTTGACTCAGTGTCGCGCTTTGAACAACATACAGCTCGGCTTTGTTTGCAGCACCAGCACATATCAGGCTGCTTTCCTCACACAATGCATCTAACCCATTTGTTTCCTCCACTTTCGCTTGGAAATCGTCTTCATTTTGGCGTGTAACTTGCCATCTGACCATCACAGCACTGGGCAGGCGACTGTTGAGATAATACGCACACGACACATTCACCCAAGTGATTTGCCGACAATTTCACTACGCCAAGACCAACAAATGGCCAAGAAAAGTCACTGGTATCTCTGTTGACTCGTCTGAGATAAGCTCGAAGAGCACCGATAAGTTCTGCTACGCTCTTCCGATCACTCCAACAACGAACCAATCTACCTGCCTGCATGCCTGTTTTCATTGCACGTTAGGCCTGCAAGTTCCTCTGTTATGCTGTTCTGACCACTCCAATAGCAGATCAGTCTACCTGCGTGCATGCCCGTTGTTTTCGTTGCACACTAGACCGACTTTGTTCTTGGACTGGCTCGTATTCACCTGTATTCCGAGACGTTTCGCCGCATGACCTCCCTCATCGTCGTCCCTCACTCGATGGCACCGCTTTGTTGCCGGGGTTGTGCAACTGACTTCTCTCCTTCTCTTTCCTCGTGCGCGTTCGTGATCGACTAAAAGCTACCCAACATGCAAGCCCCCGAGCATGTTCCGATGCTGGGTTTTGCGTCCGGACCTGCTGGTAAGAATCTCCGGTTTTCTGAATTGGCTGTTTATTGTCTGCTCACTGAGCCGTTGTGTCGTCTGCTCTGTTGGAACGTGGTGTTGTCTGCCTCCTCATCCTAATTCCGATTGCTTGTTCTGTTCTCTGTCCCACAGTCTGCCTCTGTGTCAGCTCTTTCTTATGCAGTGTCATCCGCTAATTTTCATGTCCCGTCCTCTGCTGTGTCGTACGCCCTTGTTGTGTGCTAGCTGTCTCCTCGTTCGTTGTCTGTTCTTTCGTGCACCGTTCCACAGGTACATATTCGGTAGTAGTGCCCGCAAGATGCACTGTGTTTGCAGGAAAGCATACTATAATGGCGGAGCCTGCATTGTGTGTCAGCATGGCTCTGACGTAGATGTGTGTTCCAACCTGCACCCTGCTTTGTAAACCGGGACAGACTGGGCATATTAGATTTATGCTTTTCTTTTGGCTCATGTTTACTAAGGGAAGAGTCTGATTCCCGACGTACACTTCAGCAAATCTTACTTGGCATAAGTTTTGAGCACCGATTTGGGGCTTTTTCTTGTAGTCTCCGCAAATTTGTTGTTTATAAATAAGAAAATTGTGCGACCTCGGTATTTATTCTTTGTTTTGCTTTGGGCACTTTAAAACTCTAATTTCAGACAGCCTGCTTTGCTGTTCAGTCTCTTAGACCCCACACCAGTTCATCAAACTTTCATGAAGTTAATCAGGACAGAATTAACCAAATAAAAAAAGAAAAAGCAGGCCCAGTTATCTGGCTTGTCAGATGGTTTTAACTGATCCTCTAACATGCTTAGTTTGATGTTTTGGCACTAAGCAAGTTTCAGTATGCATGACAATGTTCACCAAAGCACACACTCATTTTTAAGATACATATAACATATTCCCATCGAAAGAAAAGCCAAACATCTGCAACTTTAATATTGGTTTGTTATTTATTAAATTCAGTTTTAAATCGACAGGAGTGACATAGCCTTAACTTGCACGAGTCAAGTTGTATTGCACCTTCTCGCATCTTGCAACTGGTAGACTTATCTCGATTTTTGCCCCGATAATGACCGCACACAGTAGCCAAGAGCATTTCGGCAATGTTGACTCCTGGTCTCATCGAGCGCACCTGTGACACGAGATCCCAAGGCCACGAATTCTCTGGCGTCCGACCTGCCATCTTCACTAAATTATGTGCAGGATTTATCTGCCTTTGTTGGACGTGATTGCTGGCCAGGTGTTCCATTCTTCCTGTCCTCTGTTTCCACCTAAAGTTGCAGCAACATGTCTTTTGGATTATTGCATTTTTTGCTTTTCTTCATCAGGCCTCAAAGTTGTGCTCCCGAGCAGAACATCTAGCCCTACTGCTGTCCGGTTTTGTCCAATTTCGGTTGTGAAGTTTGCTCCCTACGGTACATTTATTTTCGGAGTTTTCGGTAGTTTTATGATTATCCCTTTTGTCTCTTCTGGGCTCTTTCAGCTTAATGGTCCCTGCGGCATCTTATCATGTATTCTTTTTCACTCTGGAGCTGGTGTGCGCAATTCTTTTCAGCAGGGCTGTAAATCTTTGTTACACTCTTTCTGTGGGCCGACGGGAAATGGGAAACAGAGTCCTCTTTGTACACGTTCCAGGAGACAAGGTCATCTGAAATGGGCATAGAAGTGTCATTTCCACCTGTGCAATGTCCATGTACTTACTTTTGAAGTCGAAAACACTAGCTAAGTGGCACAAGCTGCCACCCGGTTTAAAGGAATATTCATTCACACACCCATGAGGGAGAGTGCAAAGTTCCTCTCTCTCTCATCCCAACTTCAGATTCGAAATGTCTCTTATGTTTTGAATATCAGGCACATCATGTCATATTGGACATATCATATCACATTGAACATATCATCATCATTATAAAATTTTTAGTCAATCGCTACTGCCACTGATAGTGGTATTTTTTTACGACACATGCCAAAAGTCTAGCTTTTTTGCATATTTAATGTTAGCTTCTGGGGCTATCTTTTCATTTTCACACCACTGAAAAAAAGAAAAGCCTTGTTTCGACTAGTGTGCTTGAACATATATATATATAATATCGTGAGAGATTCTATGCTTCCCCGGTTGTCCCAAATCTCACAAACAGCTGTGGGACGCTCGGAGAATCTATAACTACAGGTGCAATCCTGCGTGTGCTACATGCATTTAGAGCAGCCAGTACAAGAGATCACCGGGTTCTCAGAAGAGCTAAGCTTACAGGTGTGCATTCTGTCCCGTGGTTCTCTCATTGGTGTTTTTTTTTTTTATTGCCGTTTGTTTTTCTTTGATGGTCGCTACTTGAAGACTACCTCTTTTGTTGTACTTGGGGCTGTCGTTTTCAAGTTTGCCACCCATGTGACTTTCTTTTATGAAATCTGTGAATTTTTCCTATGTTTCCCTGCTGCTGCCACATCGGTTGTGAATAGTGCTTTAAACACTGGAAATTACGTTGCTTCTCTTCTCGTTGTCGTCGTGTCTTTATTTTTGTGCCCATAAAAAAGCAGCGCTCTGTAATCTGGTGTACATTAAGAAAATCCGAAACATACAAAAAAAACCTTTGCAAACTAAAGTTGCATTGTCAAACATTATACGGGGCGTTTCACGAAACAGGAAATGTGCGTCGTACAAAACAAATAGTCACGTCGTGTTGAGGCCCATTTAGCGAGGTACATTGTGTTCCGGATAATTAACCGTGATTTGTCTTTTATAATTTTATAATCGTAATACTGTTTAAAAAAAGACCGTGCATTGTGTGACAGTCTTTTGGCGGAGAGAAGTTGTACACCTAATTTTTCGTGCAGCAGTTCATAATCGTAAAAACGCCTCCAACCGACATGTCTATCAAATGTATGCAGAGGGCGTCGCCGCATGGATTTTATCGTGCTCGGGTTAGCGGACGTTGCAGATTTTTACTTGGGATTGTTTGATCTTTCATAAGGCTATTAAGGGGATTTACACCTTGACATAAAAAAATTTTTGTTGTTAGTGGCTGATACAAATAAAAATATTTTGCATTGGCTGGTACAAATAAAAAAGCATACAAATGAATAGAAATAAAAAAAAGAGGAAGTCATAGGAAAATGTTTTTTGATGCTACCCAATATTTATGCTGCAAGAGTCGAGCTAAGTTTTGCCACTGACCATCTCAAAATAAAAGCAGCAAAAATTTGAGAAAACAATGATCTTTGGGACCCTCGTTAGTTACAAAAATAATTGGTACGACTCTGTCTGGCCCGTCTTTCTCACATCAATTGTTGGAGCCAATCGGTCTGCAAATCGTCATTGTTAATATTATACTGGGTTGTAACGTTCTTTCTTATTTTCTTGAGGATGCTGTAATTATACGATAGATGTCTACCAGTCGGTGACCCTTTAACCCCTTAAACGTTTTGGACAAGCTTAGCTCGTCAATGTGGAGCCGTCCCCAAACCATTCAAGACGAGCGTAGCTCGTCTGCTTTCCCCGGTTCACGCAGTCCACCGTTTTGGACGAACCAGGCTCACTCATGGCTTAGTTTATAAAAAAGTTATAAAAAATCCAGTTCTCCCATCAGTTGGAAGAGATTCCAACTGATGGGAGAACTGGATTTTTTATAACTTTGGTCCCATTCTGTTTGTGGCTTGAAACTTTATTTTGAAGGCAACTAATGTAATTTCGAAGACAAGGATTAAGCAGTTTAGGGTTTGAATTTCCCCGAAACTAAAAACGGCTAAGGGGTTAAAGGGGCACTAAAGTGCATTTTGAGATCCTCTTTTTATGGTACAAGCTCAGTCTATTTGCCCTAAGCGCCATAGAAAACCAAAAAATTACAACCATGCGTGACTTATTTTTTCTGTGAGAGGCACAACTAAGCACTATGACACACCATTTTTTTTCCAGATATCTAGAAAAAGTGGGCATATCGCAATATTGGGTTGTAGTTTTAAAGATAGAATAGAAAAGGACACTCACAATTATAATTTTGGGTTTTTTGGGATGCTTAGAGTGCATAGATTGAGTTCTTGCCATACAAAGACAACCTCAAAATCCACTTTAGTGTCCCTTTAAGGCCTTGGTGATTGGTGAAATAGTTTGAATGGTCAATGTTTTCTCTCCCACTGCTCAAATTGTCTGAATACATTCTTGCTCCCTACAGCTCCTCTAGCTCGCAGTAAGTATATCTGTAGTGGCAAAAATGGCCATGGATGTCACTTAAAAATTTAAACGAACAGCGTATGCAAAATAGGCAAACGGCCACAATGTATGGAAGGCACAATATATGCGGGGTACAGTGTGTGCAGTGAAGTCGTGCAGAAATAGGTAACGAGGCTTTGTGCAGCGGAAACCCGTGGAGGGGCCTGCCAACTTTAGATCAGGAAACAAACGTTGACGTGCGTTTGATTGTGAATGCGTCGTGTGACCTTTGCGGTTTGTGACAGACATGTCGGATCAGGTGTGTCTTGTCTCTTACACAATGGAAGATCAAAGTTGTACCAAGTTTTTTCTATTTTTTTTTTTCTTGTTTTAGTATGAGTTTTCTTCTCGATGGTCTCGTTGTTGCAGCTGGGTGCTGTAGTCGTCAATTTTTGTGTCAAAATACATTAACAGGTAGTAAAATTAGGCAAGGAGAGGCTTCTCCCTGTTGTATGGTATAGTTAATGCTGCTTAGGTTGCCTTTATGATGCCATCACTGGGATAAGGTTTTTCAGTGCAGTTGCTTTGGTATGTGACAGTACAGATTACATTGTGTGTCTGATGTAGTATGATGTTTTTATGGTGGCAAAAGCCGAGAGCACAAAACTTTAAAAAAGAAAGAAGAAAATATGCTTATTAATTACAGTTATGGGAGCCGTTTCACTTTGACATCACGTTTGGCCTTGTCCGTTAGCTTCTAGTTTTTTTATGAATTCAGTCACCAGATAAGTATTCTCCCAACGTTTGTCTTTTTTTTTTATTAGAGTGAGACGCAAAAAGTTGACTCTTGGGAAGCCACTCCTGTAAAAAGGTTATTTAATCCTGAATATGAGTTTTAAGTGAAAGTATTTAAACCATTCTGCCTTCCCACAACACATTTATTAAAAAAAAAAAAAAAGTATTTTCTGTCAAATATAGTTTAAAAGCTTAAAACATCTGAAACTGTGAGCCATATGGTCCAATCACTCAGTGCGGTGCTAAGAAAAAACAGACGCATTCTGAATCAAATCGTGCAAGCAGGTTGGAATTTTAAGCTTCATTGTATCTTTTGGTTTTGTACATGAGATTTGAATCTTTATGCTTCATTGTATCTTTTGTTTTTGTGCAAGCAGATTTGAATTTTCGTGCTTCATTGTATCTTTTAGTTTGTTTTTATGCTTCATTGTATCTTTCTGTTTTTGTACGCCACCTGCTTGAGATCTTCCATGACATTGTTTAAAGGTTTTTGGGAATTGTAAACTTACAGAAACCTATAGTAGGTCACCTCCCCTCTTTCCACTTGAACAGAGTGAATGGTGAAGAGGAGGCAAGTTGACTCACAGTGGGTTTTGTAGGAGTGGCATTTCCTGCTCTCTTAAGCTGTCACCAACTATAGGTGTTTAAGAAGTTTTTGGCAGTCACATAAAATACTTTTCATTCAAATTGTTCTTTTTTTTTTTCCTGTTACTTTTGGTATTTGCCTTTTACAACTATAAACAAAAACAAAACGGTGCACGCACGGGAAGTGTTGCTTCGTGCGAAGTTCACATAAGTGGCGTCTAGTGTGTCAAATAACAGGAAGCATTTCTGAGTCTATTTTACACTATGAAGACGTTTTAACCTCTGGAATTGACTGCTTGCTTGTTAAGTTCGGATAAATCACCCTTTAATCTGACATTTTTTTTAATATACATGTATATATATAGTTTCTTGAGAGGTACTGGTCTGCTGAGAGTGTGCAACACTTGAAATCTCAGCAGCATTTTGCTGCTGAAATCTCAGCAAAGTGTTAGTCTCATTATTTGTGAAAATGTTAGATGCCTGACCACTCCGACTCATCAGCTACCCGTTAAAATTTGGTACTTGAGTCTTTTATTGAAATCAAATTGCCTAAGGTTGAAAGTCTCATAGTCTGCAAGTAGGATTTAGTGTTTTTGGAGTTTTATTTTCCTTTGAGTTAGGGGTGTCTTTTTGGGGTTTATTTTTCCCTACAGGCTGGGTGTCTATTTTTGGTGTTGGCCAAAAGACTGGTGGTTATTATTTTGACGAAAACAAGATTCTCCTACCTCCAGACAATTTGGTGGGGCTTTGTTCAGGCTCAACACAAAATAAAGCCGTAGATAAAAATTTCTTTCTTCCAAGCTTGGGCTTTCCTTATTTGAAGACAGCTTCCGTTTGCTTGTAGGTTTTTCCTCTTTTTTTTTGGTGGGGGGGTTATTGTTACATGTATTGAAAACATGGAACCCTATCTGCAAGTAATTTCTGACAGAACCAATATAGTCCGCAGAATGGAGCCAGTTGCAATGACATTTTCTTGTCGGTACAAACCAGAAACTAGTCGCCTTTAATTGGAGTATGGCAGTTTTCACCGCTCGGAAGATTAGCGAGCAAGGTGCCACAGGCTAGGGCACGCTGTAGACCGGCCTTTGTTTCTCTCTCCCTCTAGAAGAAGACGACGACAAGACTTCCGGGGCCAGCGAACATGCCGCGGAGGGCGGGGAGCACCGTTTCATCCACATCAACAGCCCGCAGAAGCTCAAGTTCTGCAGCAACCACATCTCGTGAGTTCTTGCCCGTCTCTGCATCCTCTCGTTTAGTTTCGAAGTGTGAAAGGCTTTTGAATGGAACGTCTGACCCCTATATTTTGTCTGTCCGTCTTTTCCCGCCAAGTTCAGCAGAAGGATTGAAGTCACGTGACCTGTACGCCACTTCGGTCTCCACGCTAAATTTAGGCGAAAGATTGGTGTCACGTGACCTACTCAAGAAGTCAGTTTCTCCGCTAAATTTAGTGAGGAAATTAATAAAAACATATCGTAATATCTCAAAAGATGCCCGCCCCCAAAAGATAACCCGCCTCCATTTTTGGCACGATTTGCTATCTTTTCAGAAACTCAGAAATGTAGCTTACTTCTAGTAATTGCAGGGCCCTGGCCAATGGTGACTTTTGTCTTTAGGTGGGCTATCTCTCAGGATAGCCCACCTACGGCAGGCTCCTTACTTCCCGAAACGACTGTTTAACGTCCCATTAACAAATTTAAATGGCATCTCCTTAAATACTGCTTTTTGGCGCATTATAGGACTTTGGAGATAAAATTTGCCGCTAATTTTTTGTGTTGATCTGGGGCTACCCGGCTCTTGTGATCGCACCAAGTAGGCTTGCAAGGTTTGCCTGAGCTTCTCACTGTGTGCCACGGCAGGCAGAGTGTCTATTTTTGAGATCGCTAATGCAAGGACAAACTGAATTGCAAATTGTCAGAAATACTAACGGATCGAACGCTGAACTGTCACAGAGCTTTTGTGCTAACAAGCATGAGGAGCTTCTCTCGCGTGTGCCACGTTGAAGAACCCTCGTATCAGCGCGGGCTGGCCACATACTGCAAAAAGGTTTAGCCGACGTCGGTACAGATGCCTCCATTTCTTTATTTCCGATCTGAGGAAGACGAGACTTAATGTTTCTCACGGCTCCAGATTGCCCTATCCACTCAACAAAACTAAATTTATGCGTTTATTTAAGTAGTGCCCACAATGGCGAAGGAAATGTGGGGTATTCAGGTTACAACCCCAATACAATTTTTTTTAGAAAGGCAGAATGCAGTAAAGTGTAAGCAGGCGTTTTGAGGCACATTCTCGGCGTACATTATTCAATGGGACACCCGGCTTACTCTTGCCAACATGTCTTTGCGAATTAAAATAATTTCAGGTATATCGATCAAATGAGGTAGATCATGCCCCCTTTCTTTCAAAACACGCTCAAGGGATGATGTTCGTAGATAGCTCCTCGTCTGGAAAAGCTAATGCCTATTAAGTTTAGTATATTTCAGTAGTTGACATTTGCTTTTCACAGTGGGCGGCGGTGGGCGGTGGCGGTTTTGCCACCAGCCAGTCTGCCTTTGGCCCATTCCTACACGTCCGGCCCACCTCTACATTTTGTCTCCGCCAGACGAGGCAATGCCGATTTTGAAAAGGCACAGCTTCCCAGACTGTCGCGTTTGACAGGCTTGTGCGTGGCAGTATGCGACGGAACTGCACAATCCTTGCGAACAAAATCGCCCCTGCGCGGCGGAGATGGTGCCGGGAACGCCAAGGGTTGCATCAGTCGCCCCCTCCACCCCTCTTCTCCCAACACCCTAATAATTGTCAGATGTTTACATGTACTCGTTACTTCTTTGTTTGCAGAACTGCAAAATACAACTTCATCTCCTTCCTCCCCAAGTTCCTGTTTGAGCAGTTTCGGCGGTACGCCAACGTGTTCTTTCTCTTCATCGCGCTGCTACAGGTGAGTATGTATCTCAAGTCTGCGACTAAGATTCGGGGCTGCAATTTTGTGTCTAGTGACGCGGCAGGTGGAACGAGCCAGCTGTACGCTGCCCGACACGTGACATAGCCGGATAACTGCATTCTTTTCAAGCTTCGTGGCGACTAGGGCAGGGTCTGGTATGCAAGAACAACTCTCATCACTGTTGGCATTTTAAGGAGGCCTATCAAAATGGTTCCTTTGTTTGCCTCCTTTACTTGCGGTTTTATTTTGTTTTCATCCTGCACGAAAGAAGTCGAGCAACCACTTGTCTTGTCTTGGGAGTCGGGGTCCCTATTGCCAAGCTAGCCATAGTCACCAATAGACAGCCTATAGAAAGGGACCACTATAATGGCTACTCCACTTTCCACAACCTTTTTATCGTTTTTGTACCGTTTTAATTTTTTTAATATGTATCTAACACGGGTTTATTTCTGCGCAGTTTTTTGGGTAATTTTTGTTAAGTTCTCTGGTCATCAAAAGATATAAATTATTTTCTTTGAATTTTTGTATGTTTGTTTTTCTAGTACATTTTTGGAGAGTTTCCCACATTATTTCTAAGTTGCTCAGCCTTTTTTTTTGCATTGTAATTTTGTATTTTTTGCAATTTTGGAAGTTTTTCTGCAATCGTATGGCTGTATTATAATTGTTTGAGGACTAAGTTTAATTAAGCTCATTTAAACTTTTAGGTTTTCGTAAACTTTTTTGTTGCTATTATATAGAGTAGAGCAGCAATGCCCAACGCTTTTTGAAACACTCAGCACAACCAACTAGACTTTACGACAAACGCTATTGTGTGGTGCTACGCGTGGTGGTGTTGCCAACCTATAGTTTATTTTAAGGTATAGTCTGATGCTTCTGCTGTTGCTTGCATAATTTAATGTCACTGTGTTGTTTTATGGTTTCCCCGCCAGCAAATACCCAATGTTTCTCCGACGGGACGCTACACGACGGCAGTTCCGCTTGTGTTCATCCTCCTCGTGTCTGCACTCAAAGAAATCGTGGAAGACTTTGTGAGTTTTATTTTCTGAAACCTTTCCACTGTTCTGTGAGGAGATAACTAGATCCACTAATTCAAAAGACAAACAATTGTTTTAAAATAGAAAAATGCAGATAAAAACATGTGACCATGTTTTTTAGCAATTTGACACGGAAATACGGATGCCATAAAGACAAGGCGGACTTGTTTGTTGAGAAGCAACGGGACGTTCTGTTCGTTGTTTTAAACGGCGCAATTACGACCTATTCTCGTTTTATGCTTTTTTAATTTGATCCTAAATAATGTTTGAGTTGGCTCGTTGTGCCGCAGTATGTAAACGGTGATTTGAGCTGGGATTTATAGCATTAAATTTGGAGAAATCTTTATACCCAGAAATGGAGGCCTCTGTCATAAATGGGCATTCAAGTTTTTCCTCAAGTCTCGTCGCAATTATGTTTCAAATTTGGGGGGAGGCTTGCTCAATGTATTTTGACAATAAGTCAAATCTGTAAAAGCATTGTCTTTTATAAGATGAAACAAATAGTTCTTCATACGTATCATTTTTATTTTGTTGCTAAAGCAAGGTCGAATGTCTCTCTGTTTCAGAAACGACACTTAGCTGATGATGCCGTTAACAAGAGCGTAGTTTTAGGTAAGTTGTAAGTAAGCATCGAGCAACTGCAATTACTCGATTGTGCGGAAAGCTTTAACATGATTCGATACAGATCTGTCACTTTTCGTATCTGGTTTATGAGTCATTATATTTATTCTAAATAAACTACATCTTCACCAACATAATGAAAAAAGTCCCCTTTCAGCAGATGTCGGAACTTCTAGAGTCTATGAGATCTTGGAAGGCAGCTTTTACCTCATCTTGGCTCTTGTACTGATTGCCTTTCCAAAGTTATCCAGACATTAAAAAATTAACTGGAAGATTTTTTTATAAGCACCTATATATCTGTTTTAAGTGATTCAGATCTTTATACTTCTGGATCAGTTTTTACTTTGGTACTAATAATAAGAGAGTGATCATACTTGTTAATAAGGCACCTTTTCATTCGTTGGATGCTTCATGAGCGCCTTCCGGAAATTCGTTGGCTCAGAACAGAACAGTCTTCGGGGGATGTGTCTATCCCATAATCCCCAACAATCTTTCCCGTGGGAAGAACGTTATGAAAAGAGAACTTTGGCGTTTGTTTGTCCCCTTCCAGCGTTGCGGGACGGGGAGTGGAAGGGCGTCAAGTGGACGCAGGTGACCGTGGGAGACTTCGTGAAGATCACCAGTGGGCAGTTCTTCCCCGCAGACCTCATCCTCCTGGCTTCCAGGTGAGCGGGGCATTTTGCAAGGACTCGGTTCGCGTTTCCCCGCAAGTTGGAGAATCCCACTCCTGTGTCTAATTCTTTAAAGTGAGCCCCGATAAATGCTCACCTTTTATCCGGCATGGAAAATAGACATAGAAAAACGCTGAATCTGTATGAAAAAATGAACACCCATAAAAACACCCCCGAATTCGATGCAAAATAAATGCGGAGGAAACAACCCTGGTAATAGGAAAGGACTAGGCACTTTCCATGGTATAAAAAAGCGTCGCAAAAAAGAGTAGCGTAAGCAATTCGCTAATTTGGTGGGCGACACATTGACCCAAGTTCAGCAACTTTCGCTCACTCCAAGTACAAAATATTTTTTTGCATTCCTTAATTGTACACATTACAAGCACCAAAAGACAGGGACAGATTAAAGATGACGACTCAATGCGCCTTGGGTTGTCGTTGCTTTTCATCTGTTCCCGTCTTATGGCTGCGTAATCAACCAACTAGCCCAACTCTCCATTTTGCTGACTTTGCAAGGACCTAATTTTTGATCCAGAAAATATTGCAAAAAGCTAGTCTTTTTGCAAGATGCGTGCGTAAAGTTTCGCTCCAAATCGCAAAAGTTGGTGCCCTCAAAATGTTCCCGAAACCCACACTCCGCCAAATTCGTGAAATATCGAGCCCGCAACAACAATGTCGTGCACAGTATTCTGGTAGCAAGGATTTGGCCTGGCACGACCAAAATGGTTCGCATTTTTTTATTAGTGGGCTGGATTAAAACCCAAGCCAACAAAGGAAGGTGACTGTCGGCTTCAGTTCGAACTACGGGGTGTCGTCCGAGAAAAAGCAAATCACGTTTTTATCTTTGCCAATGTACTAAGCTGTGCACATATAATGTGTAAGGTGTCCCTGCCCTTAAATTACCCCACAGCCTGCTGTTTCTCGGTGCACAATCTCGGCTGTCGGCACATCGCTAGGTTTAGGCCGTTGGACATCAATTGGGACGTCTGTTTGCTCCGTCTTTTTGTTTTTCTTCCGCTCGATGCTTGCAACTGTGTGCTGCTGGATTGTCTGTGACAGTGGTTCTCATCCGTTGATGTTTCGCAGACCCCTTGTCGATTGGCACAGAGGATGGAGGACCACGTTTGTGGTGAGGGGAAGGGAAAGGTACAGTTTAATTATGATAATGATTTAACATTTGGATATAACTAAGGGCTAGTGTAAAGAAGACGTCTCTCAATCACATACAGACGAGAGAGCTCACCCGAAAATTGAAGCATTTCTTCTCAATCTGAAAAATTACAACTTTTATTGCCGAGCTTGACTGATGAGGCAGGGCTTCGTGGATAGCTTGAGTGTTTTTGCAGACCCCAAAGGGTCCGCGGACCCCCATTAGAGAACCACTGGTCTATGATTCTGTTTTGGGTGTCCTGACCTGCTGAGATGCCAGGTCCTCTTTGTTTACATCTGTTTCCAGTGAGCCTCAGGGAATGTGCTACATTGAGACTGCCAACCTCGATGGAGAAACCAACCTCAAAATACGGCAGGTGGGCCCCACACTCGCTTTGTAGCATTATGCAAACGACCAATTGATCAGTAGCCGTGCTGTTGCCTGTCCTGGCTTCGAGCAGACGTGTGCCTCTTGCACCCCATCCCCCTCCTCCCCCTCCTCCTCCTCCTCTTCCTCCCTCCCTCCCTATTTCCTTCCTTTCGTGGCGGACTTGAAACCAGAATACTGTTGTGAACTGTTCGGGGTGCAATTTCCGGATAAAAACGGACCCAACCACGAAGAAAGAAACAATAAATGCAAATGGCCCGTCACGAAAAAAAAATTGGAGATTGAGTGACATGTAGAAACTGTGAGAAGCGTGCAGGGGGTCCGAAACGCAGCTGAAAGTTTATTGATTGGACCACGCGCTCCATTCCCGGAAGAAGCACACCTTCCAGGAGGCCAAACGGCTTTCGGCTGCCGTCTTTCTCTGCAGAAACACTTCCATGCGCACACACGAGCAAACGCTTTTTGTCGCACATCCCTTCACAAGTCACGCCGATGATTTGGACACCCACTCCTACCCAAGCAGTCTAGGAATGTGCCACGAGGGGAAAGAGGAGCTCGTGCCTTGGGGGAAATGGGGAGGTGCGAAATAGCGGGTGTCAAATCTGGGGCATGTGGTCGCAAGAGACGCAAACTCTGCATTTTTCTCCTGCCAGGGTGCTGGCTTTAGCAGGGCTTTCTTTTAGAGATGCTAGACAAGGCGACATTTGCACCATTGAAACACGAATTGTGCTTCAATGGTAATTCACACAACGTGACTGCAAAGCGATGTGCAGTTAATGCGGAGAGCAAGTCTCCTGCTTCTTGCGCAGGAGTTGTGGTGACGTCAGAACAACGCCGAGCTCTAAATGGCTTTGATTGAAAGGATAGCAGGTCGACCTTACGCTAGATGCCTCGCAGTCTGCCAACTGTTTTTTTCAATCAACCTATAAGAACTTGGCGTTCTGACATCATCGCAGAAGCAGACGAACTTGTGCTCCACATTTTACGCCACCAGCACCCTTGCCGCGCTTGTGCAGGAAAGGGCCGAATTGTCTTTGCTCTCTGCCGGTAATCAACCTGCTCTAATACAGATCCCCAAGGAAGCTGTAACGTAATGCCGCAGAAACCGTTAAAAAATGTGAAACGCACACTTCGGAAGCAACTTGACAAAAGAGCAATAAATTGAGAAGAAAAACTAAATTCGAAACACACCCCGACAGTAATTGAACCCACGACCCCACCATTGTGCGCTCGACATTCTACCGTTGCGCGAATTAGTGGGTGGACGCAAAGCTAGCCGGCAGCTGGCTTTGCCTCTACCACGGTGTTCTCTGCCAACTTTTTGAATGCTTTCTGCATTTAACACTACCGCTTTTTGGCGTTCGCGTTCAAACAGTTGTCAGACAGAGACGTGCCCACCATTGCATAGGACGGAACAAAGTTTGCTATGAAATTACATGCTATGACTAAAGAAAAATAAAAACAGCCACAAAGTCTGCCACAAACCCTGAAGAATGCTGTGGAAACAGATTCTGTGTATCCCAACCTTATTTGTAGAGTGAACCAAGCATTTGTTTTTGCCGTGTCCATGCAGGGTTTGCCCCAGACTGCGGAGATGCTAACCACCAAGGACCTGAGGACCATGAGCGGCTATGTGGAGTGTGAACTGCCCAACCGGCACCTCTACGAGTTCACCGGAAACATCAGAGTGAACAACCTGAAGTGAGCAGACAAACATGTGCACGGGTTGCCGGCGCGTGCCTCACCGTTGACGAAGGCAGCAACATTCTGCACTCCGCATTGAGACGATACCAAGATGGGGGAGGCATTCGTTCGTCAAACCAGATGTTCATTTTTCGAGATCAGAGAAACTTTAAAGAATCCCTGCCGTACGGCGAAGGCTCGGCAAAATGGCCGAGTGATAGGGCTTTCGCCGTTTGTTTCTTTCGACGCACCTCGAGGAGCAATTGCGCAAAGCAGACGCTGCGGCTTAGTTTGAGGCGGTTGTGTCTGTCAACATCCCATCTTGGTCGGTCTCACATTTTCTTGACAATTGGAGTGCTTTGGTTTTGGCACTAGGAAACGAGAGCTTTTTTTCCCTTGTCCGACTTCCTCCAAGACCGGAAGGGTTCCGCCACGTCTGATATACTTTGTTTTCTTTGTCCTTTTTCCGGGCGTGCCAGGACCCTTCCACTGAGTCCTGACCAGATACTCCTTCGCGGGGCCATGTTGAAGAACACGACTTGGGTGTTTGGTGAGTCTGCGCTCGCTTCTCACGCCCTCTTCAGTAGAACAAGGGTCCTTTTCCGTTCTGGGTGGGGGCTGTGGGGGCGCTCGCGCGCCCAAGCGGGAAGGGGGCCTCGCTATAAGAGTCAAGCGAACTCTGCCCAGCGGCAGTCGCCGCCGGGAACTGGAGAGGTAATAAACACTTGTCTATTGAACTGGATTCCAAGTGCCGTACCTCCCTACAGGCAGCAGCAAGGTCAAACCGCTGCAGGGCTTATTTGGTATTTCGTGTCAGGGACCTTCGTTGCGTACCACTATTGTCGTATGATTGTCGCCAGTTGCGAGTTGCTTAGGGAAGTTTTCCTGGCCCTTTTGCAGGCTTTGTCATCTACACTGGCCACGAAACGAAACTCATGATGGTGAGTTTTTTTTTGTTGGCTCTATTGAGCGGAACTACACATCCGTAGCACGTGACAACTGCATGTTTCGTTTGCTGCTCTCGTGCCGACCGTGTGTTTCTCTCTCCCGCAGAATTCGACGGCCGCACCCCTCAAGCGTTCCACGGTGGACAAGGTCACCAACACGCAGGTGGGCTTCTCGCCGACGTTTGTGGACCCTTCGTTTTCTCAATAATACAGTCGACTGATTAATTCAAACTCCAGGAAGCCCCGGACTTTACTTTGAAATATTAGAAGTTTGAATTATCAGAAATTCATCTAATTATGATGTAAGGCAAAAGTAGCAATTTGCTATAGGAATAGCTATACATTCCAAGGAGATTTTTTACACTTTCCTCTACACTGGCCTATTCACAAGCAGGCACTCACATAAAATATTGGTGAAGTTTGAAGCAAATAGTGCTTTTGGCCGAATATTTTCTGATTGAATGTCAGATAGTTTTTCCGAACCTTTTACTACCGTTGTACCATGCTTAAATGAAAACTGAGCTAAGTTTGTGAATTTTGTTTCCAACCTTCCACTTGTCTACTTCTAAGCTGAATTAGTTTTACTATAACTGTATCTATGAGCCGTGGCCTCGGAAAGCCCAGTGCCTACATTGGGGTGGCATGTAAATGACAGATCTGACATGAAATTAAACCTGAAGTGAAGCCCAGCTATCCTAATCAATAGTATTTATAAATCTGCTCGCTACATGCAAATGTCCTTTAATCTGGAATTTAACCTCCTCACAAAAATTTAAAAAAGCAAGCACGAATAATGAAAGTTGATTGTCGGAACAGTTCTGCTTGCATAATCGCGGTGGGTTTGTCCCGTCGAGTGTGCTTCTCACCGAGCACCCGCGCACTGCGGAAAAGCAATTATCGCGAGCTTTGTGGGTATTGCTTTCCCGCCGTGCACAGGTGCTCGGTGAGAAGCTCACTCAACGGGGCTATCCCGCCGCGATGAACAAATAGTATGAATGAAGCAAAAATGCTGTTTGAATGAAGCAGCTTATAGAGGCATTAAAACATGGCGGGACAACCAAAACTTTTTATTTCGTTTCAATTAACCGGAATACGTTTTTTTTAAATTATTAGGAGTTCACTGTATAGAAAGTGACGAGCATTTTTCGAGAAACTTCAGAACGAAAGCTTCTTTTATTTGCGTCGAGGCAAAGAAAGCGAGCGTCGTGACCATTTAGTTTAATGGAGTCTCGTTATTTGCAGATCATCATGTTGTTTCTGCTGCTCATTGTCCTGGCTTTGATCAGCTCTGTGGCCAGCGAGCTCTGGACGTCGCAGCATGCTGCCACCGACTGGTACCTGGGACTAGACGGTACACCTCACAGCCCATTTATTTGATAGCCATTTATGGCTAGTATGTATTCGAAAACCACCAATTAATAAATCGGTTAACCGTATCTATGGATAATTAGTGATTGGCAGGTCAGTGCATTAGCTTATGTTGATCGATCAATCAGTACGCCACCTATTTATCGCTTGCGATTAATTCATTAATACATATCAATTGATGAGTGGGACAAGGTGTTTGGTGCGATAGCAATTCTTCCTTAAAATGTATTCTAATTCTCGCCGTACCATAGCTCAAATTCTTGCACCATCTGGTATAGTAGTTAGTGGGCAATCACAGAATCATTTAGTTAAAATGATAAAATGCTCGTCACCTCTCACGCATCACATGTGGCTTTCCCCCGAACATATGACCACATTTTTTTATACGTGTTATCCCTCTCCCGGTTTCTTGTCCCGACTGGACGGCCACATAAAATGACGTGATCTTCGTATTTGCCTCTCTGCAGACCTGAGCAGCAATAGCAACTTTGGCTTCAACTTCCTCACCTTCATCATCCTGTACAACAACCTTATCCCCATCAGCCTCCAGGTGACGCTAGAGATGGTGCGCTTCATCCAAGCGAGCTTCATCAACATGGTGAGCATCTTGGGACCGGGGCTGCCACGCACAATGCGCTTCATTCCTTCCGGGGAAGGGGAAAGATGTCGGCGGCAAGATTTTCTCGGAGTGGTTTTGGGCGGATGTTCAAGATAAGCTCCCGCACATATAGCCAAATGCGAGAAAGATCTTGACCAATCTCCCTTCTATAGAGCATAAGTCGAATTTTAAGGGAAGATTTATAACAAGGTGCTTCTAATAAAGTATCCGGTTAGGGAAATTCTGGGGAAGGCAGCTGATATTCAAGAAGCCAAATTTGGGAAAGATTTTGTTTTAGAAACCTCTAAAGAAGCCAACGATAAGCCAGATTTGTAAAGGAGAGCCTTCTATATGCTAGCCAGGCATTGGGAAGATTTTAGCAGGTAAGCTTCCATCAAAGTGACCAAATATAGGGTATTTCTACAAAGGGGTAGTTTCCATAAAGTGGCCAATTTGGGCATTATCTTGACAGGGACATTCCTGTAAAGTAGCCATGTTGGTTGATGTATAGCAGGGAAAAAGGAGAAGTTGGATACTTGGACATTTGTGAGCCCTAGAGGTTTGGTAGGGAAATGGAGAAAGAAACCATCTGTTTAGCCTAGAAGTGTACAAATAGTAGATTTCGAGCTTGAAGCGGATTCCAAGTGAATAATGGTTTGGCCCGGATATTTTCCAATCGAATATTGAACAGTTTCTTTGAGCCTTTCATTCTGTGCGCCATGCTTAAACAAAAGATCAGCTGAACTCGTGAAGGTTGTCCCCAACCTTGCACTTGTCTACTTCTAAGCTTGGTTAATTCTAATAGATATGTATTCATGAACTGTGGCATGTGAATGACAAATTTGTCCCAGCTATCCCAATCGAGGGTATTTATACATCTGCTTGCTATATGCAAATATTTTTTCTTCAATTTTAAGCTTGACAAAAAAAAATGAACATGCACAAATCATGAACATGGGTTGGCAAGATAGTGCCGATTAACCTATATGCCTGCATAATCGTGGTGGACTAGCCCCGTTGAGTGCGCTTCTCACTGAGCACCTGTGCACTGCAGAGAAGCAATATCTGCAGAGCCTGTGAGCACTGTGGGTGTGGCTCTGCAGTGCATCGGTGCTCGGCGCAAAGCGCACTCAATGGGGCTAACCTGCCGTGATCCACACTTTGAAAAGTATGAATATACCGGTTCACCTCGAAGAAAATATTGAGTAGCATGATATTTGAGACCATGGATGTTGTCAGGCTTTCCGTGGTGGAGAGGTAGTAGTGAGGGACACAACATTTTCGGGGAGGCCTGGTGCATGATGGCCGAGTTGGAAACCATAGGTTCTTCTGGCTACATCATGCACTAGAATTTGTGTCTTAATTTCAGGAGGTTGGGTATTGAGATCGTCATTCCCAAAGTTGACATCATCACTGTCGCGAGGACTTGCCACAGTATTGTTCCCCGGCGCTTTTGTTCATAGACGACTCATTATGACGCGAAGTGACATTTCCTCATTGTTCTATGCCTTCCCGTCGAAAAGGAGCACTAAGTGGAGCGTTGGACGTCGTAGCGTACCCGAGCGAATGCTTGTGGGTTTTCTCAACTTCCCAGCTGGGCGTACACAACCAAGCTGCAGACTCGAAAGAACTGGCTAGGATTTGTGCTTTCCTGGCTAGAACTGGCAAAAGGTTGTCTGCTAAAGCTAGTGAGGTCGTAAGGTTGGAAACGTGCGGACACCAGTTTACCTGCCCCGCACTCGGCTTGCACAGAAAGAGGGTATTATCCTTTCTCTTCGAAGGTTGTCTTTTCGCTGTTTATCTGATTTTTCATCTATCCCTACTTGCCTTTGTGCCTCCCTTTCGGCCCACAGGTTTACCACGCTTCAACCTTCGCAGCACTTTCGTGGAAACAGAGAGCGTGTGCCACTTTTGGACGAAAGCTCCCACAACCGGCACCAACTGATCGATTATTTTCCCCGTCAACTAAAAGGAGACCCTAGGGAAGACTATTGGTGCCTCTATGGCCATCGCCTCCTTCTCTTAGCCCTTCTGGGAGACAATCCAAACTCGTTGTGTCGCCCGGCCTTGGCTTGTGTAGAGGGAAGACACTTTAGTTGGTGTGGGGGCTCCCAAGCGGCTTTCTTCCCTTGCCCGCCACGTTCCGTTTGCCCGCTTCTCGCGGCAGAAATTTTGTAAAAAAACAGGGACAAAGGCTTTGTACCAAGGGGTCTTGAAACTGATTCTGTTGTTTATCCGATGCTCGTAGGTCCCGCGACCTTGCATCCTAAGAGAACAGGGGCCCTAATCTATGCGGCGGGACCAAGCAGGACGGAGAGACCTGGACATCGCCGCCCGCTGTGATTGGCTAGCTCCGCATCGACAGCCAATTGCAGCGAGCGGCAATGTCCCGTTCCCTCCGTCCTGCTCCGTCTCGCCGTATAGATGAGGGCTCCAGAATGACAAACACCTTGAAAGAAGGATGTGGATGCATCATAGTCGAGGCGATCGTCTGTTTGTAAGTGCAAAAGATAAGCTGATGACGACGACGGTGTTGGCAACGACGATGGCATTCTCTCAGGACACGGAGATGTACCACGAAGAGACAGACACTCCCGCCATGGCACGGACTTCTAATCTCAATGAGGAGCTTGGCCAGGTCAAGTACATCTTCTCGGACAAGACTGGCACTCTCACCTGCAACATCATGGAGTTCAAGCGCTGCAGCATTGCCGGCCGCATGTATGGGTGAGTGCGGCAGGGCCCTCCCTGAAAGTGGCGTCTGGCAGGTGCGACAGCCTTGAGTGGCCATTCGCGGGACTGCAAGAAGTCATTAGGAGTGCGCGTGCGTCGAAATTTGAACTGCCGACCAAGTTTAGTTACTCGAATCTAATAAAGAGCATTAGACATTGAAATCTAGTGCGAATCAGATATGAGCATCTCAAATCCAGCTAACAAATTACGGTAGGTAGAAATGATGGTTGGAGAGAGTTTGATCAAATAAAAACAAAGTATATTCTAGTCGAAAGTGGGGAACATAAATGTGTATAAATAGTCCTTTTCCCACTTTTACTGAATGCATGCACCATACAAATGGGTTGAAGTAAACCGGTTTGTTCCTAGTCAGACGCCACGTATACGAGACATTTCTACGGATATTTTTGTCTGAACGAGCGCAGTCCCTGGACGCGTGCTTCACTGCGGCTCGCTCTCGTTGTGCAGTTCCTTGGAGGACGGCCTCGACCCCAAGGAGATCCACGACATTCTCCAGAAGAATGCGGTGAGTACCGACCCCCGTCATCTCTGCCGCTTCTGCAGTAGCGACCGAGTGTTTTGAATCGGGGGCGATTGTGTGCGCCACAAAGCTGCCAGCGTGGCACTGAGGGTTGCAAAACAAACAAAAACAGTTTGTGTCTTCTAACGAAGCTCATCTCTCGTAACTCTACGTGTATTCAGTTCCCACTTGAGTATGAAGCATTCTCAAAGCTAAAAGTCATTCTACTAGGTATGAAGCACGATAGCCCGCAAAACAAAACGCACAAAACCTGCATCATTCTTTCCCTGTCGACGCAACCTCTAGTAACTTTCCTTACGTTTTGACAAGTCACATCAAGAGGGCATTGTAGGAGAGAGACTGCGAGAGTACCAACTCCGGTATCTTGCAGCACAGTAGCACGCAACCTCCAAAGCTTATTGAGCATCCCACTATTCGGAGGTGGAGCTTCTTAGAATACACTGTCTGCCGTGCGACGCGGGAGTACCGTATTTACTCGAGTAATAGCCGCACTGTTTATGAAGAAAACCTGAGGGTTCGCTTTTCCGCGGAGCACGCAGATTGCCAATCACCGCGATGGACAGCATGATTCCAGCTGTTTGCGGGACAGAGATAACGTTTTCGTGCAAAGATACCATCTGTGAAGATTGCATTTGTATGGAGCATCGTGTTCTCAATCTGGTTATTCGCTATGTTATTTCTACGCAATGCAATGATTGGCTGTATATGTGTTCTTTGCGAAAGTAGACGCAAGGGCCTTGTTCATAAATAGTGCGGCTATTACTCGAGTAAATACGGTACCTCGCGTTCCTAACCTTTGCTTCGCTTTGTCCGTATTCCTACTATAGTGTGTCTGTCTTTATGAGGGAGACTTTTTTCGCAGTTGGTATGCAGCCCTCGATTTGAGAAACAGTGTCACTTAAGTGTTCCGTTTCGTGCAGCCCGCGTCGGCGTACGTCCGGGACTTCTTCACTCTGATGGCAGTGTGCCACACGGTGGTTCCCGAGACAGACGTGGACTACCGCACCATCCGCTACCAGGCCGCGTCCCCAGGTGAGGGAGAAAGCAGACGGCCCCCTCATCTTTTTGATGCGCGTCGTGTGGTTGACTCCTGGCAGTTTGGCGTGGCGCACTCGCTTGCCGAAAGAGCGTCACGCGAGTGCTGCCGGCTTTAGCAAGGCGTTTGTTCGGAAATGCCATCCACAATGACGTTTGCACCATTGGGGCGCAAGATGCGCACCCGAAGTTCCTTCGTGCCACGTCGTTGCGAAGTGATGCACAATATGTTCTTTGTTGCCGCTGCCTCTGCTAGGGTAGTGGGGGAAAGGGTTGAATTGTTTGCCTCGTGCTCTGTTCCGCAGCGTTGCGTCGTGGCTGCATCTCTCTACTTTGCAACCGGAACACGTTGGCTCCTTGCGTTGTCGAGTTAATGGAACAAAATGTTAAGCTGGAAACTAATGTGCTTTGTTTTTGTTGTTTCGTTCTCGCCCCAAAGACGAAGGGGCACTGGTGAAAGGGGCACGCGACACCGGCTTCGTCTTCACCACGAGGACTCCTCACTTCGTCATCATCAACGTCGTGAGTCCCTTTGCCAATCGAGCTTTGTCATGCAGAGTTTGGAGGCAGACAACGTCGTCTCACTTCCTGCGTGCTTTTTGCAGCTTGGTGTGGAGGAGAAGTACGAGATACTCAACGTCATCGAATTTACGAGGTCAGTAGCCTTCTCTATATACGCACTCTTTCTTTACCTTACCTCGTATTCATTTCTAGGCTGCTTTCGACTCTACTCAAAAACATAGTAATATGTTGGAGAAAACAAAAAATAAAATAATTTTTTACGGATTTTATGAAAAGTTGCATATTCAAGTAGGCTGCACAAATATGAAACAAAGCTATTGTGTCTTTGTATGACGGGGGTCTGCTTATCCTTCATGGCTTAATAATAATAATAATAATAATAATAATAATAATAACAACAATAACAATTATAATAATAGACTTATTTCTATCACAATTTGACAGCAGCGATCAAGGAACAAATAGCTGCAAAGTAGATTGACGTGTCCTTGACCGCCTACAGTGCTCAGTGGTGGACGCACAGCAGGAAATAAAAATGTACAGAAGAAGGAATGTACGAAAGTCAGCAACACGAATTTTGCATAGATCAAACAAAAACAGTAAATGCAACTAGTAGTCATAAGCATCTATAAAAAGCAATGATTGAATTCCTCTTATTGACATTTTGGTTAAATACAAATGTTTAGATTCGTAAAAGTTTAGTAAATAAGAGATATTGTATTTTGGAGTTTGTTTGCAATAGTTCTTTGCATAACCACTTCCCAGCCCTTTGGTCCGAGAGGTAGATTGCATATTAATATTTTTTGAGGGACTACCAAGGGTTATTAGGAAAGTTTGTACTCCTAATGACATTCATCTTTAGGCTAAGTCTGTGATACAAAGTGTGGATGTTGATGATGCTGAACTTTTTGAATAGGTCAGATGTATGAGACTGAAATGGAATATGCCTATGGTCCTTACTGCTTTCTTTTTCAGCAGCTGTACCCTTTCATGATTAATTGAAGTGGTTATGCCCAAAACAAAATGGCAGAAATTTAGGTGGTAATAGAACAAGGGATTATAAACCATTAAGTTAATGTATGTCGGTAATGTATAACGATAACGGCTTTGTTATCTGAGCAACATGCATAACGAGATTTGCCATGAAAAGAGGGGTAAATTGGCTTTTAATGTTAGGCTGTCCTATTTATTTCATCGTTCTGTCGACCTTTCCGGCTCCATAAATACTTTACTAAGCACGTTGTAATTTTTTTAGGAAAGCAAGTGAACATCTCTTTTTTTTTTTTTTTTTTTCAGATATATTTAGAATGAATGTAGTTTAACATATTTTCCAATTGACGACACTTTTCAGTCAGAACAGCGCCGAATTCTGCTGTGGCATTTGTCATAACTAAACATTAAGAGGAAAATCGGGGATGTTGATGTTTTGCTAGGGATAGGCTTAGCGGTACACTTGGCCATAAAAGACACGTGCAATGTTTTTGCTTTATAAATTTGGCTCCTAGCTTTAATCGTGCACTCTACAAGTTTGGAAACATTTGTTCGCAGCACCCACACATGTGCCTTCTGAAAGTTGTAGCAAACAGTGAGTATAGAGATCCACTAAAGTGACTGTGCAGTGAAGCCAGTCTTAAGCTAGTCAAAGTGCTAGTACTATTAGTGGGGGTGTGCGAATACATACTCGAATATATGAATTCAAATCGAATAGCAAGTTCCCGAATAATTCGATCCGCAAATCGAATTCCTAGTATTTGGTCATTCGAATACTGTATTCTATATATTAAGTCAAAGACGCGTGGTTGGCGCGGAGCTGACAAAGAGTTGATTTTTCTCCCGATGTTAGAGCAGTGATGTTAGACAGATCATGCGAGAAACACCTCTTGGTCCTACCATTCCACAAAAACCTAACGCACAGGTTAGAAAAAAGAAAAGTATCAAACGCCACAAACTTTATAGCACGCCGGTTTAATTAATCACGATTCTGACACAATCTAACCTTGAATCACAAGTAAAACATCCTTCTTGCGCTGCTTCCAGAGAGGAATTGTTGGGAGGCCAGAATCCCACGCCATGTCTAATTCTTTTCACCAGTAAAGCCCCTCGTTTCAAATTGAAGCGTCGATGTAAAACAGACTTGGCCACACTCGCAGAAATCGGCGACCGCAAGGTCACAAAAAGAAAACCACGTTAACCACGCCAATGAAACCAGCCGAGTTGTTGTCGTCGCTGTTTTGGAACCGCAAGCCGCAAATTCTGATTCGGAGCGAAATGGAACGCCGAAAAATAGTGTGCCTAGATTTGAGAGGGTTTCCAATCGTTCGAGAGCCGCGTTCGAAATACAAACTGCGAGAAGGTGACGAAAAAAAAAAAGCACGATCGGGCGGGTGTCGTCGCTCTGTTTGCTCGCCTTCTTTCCACGCGACAACATAACACATGCACACTTAGAACTAATTTGCGCAGAAGCCATCTCCGTTGTTTTAGTTTCGTTTGCTCCCACTTTTAAATCTAGGCTCTCTAAAACAGGATAGATGAACGGAGCAATGGATGCATAGCGGCCGTTTGGTGGTGACTTGCGCCACCTAACCGCATGTTTTTTTTTTTAAGCCTGCTTACTCAGTTTTAACACCTATCTGTTTATTTATATAATATAAAATTCCGGGAGGCCCTTTTCTGTTCTTAAAATTGAGACGAGACATCTTGAAATACCCCTTTTCTAAAATATACAAACGTAAAAAGAAAAGGACATTTCGCAATGTTATGTCGTGCTTTTAACACAAAAAAAAAAAAAAAAAGGCACACGTGACTAATTTTGGGTTTTTTGTGACACTTAGGGTAGATAGATTATTATGTTTGCGCCATAAAATTGGATCTTTAGTGCCCCACAACCATTAGCAGCTGCTTTTCTAAATTTCAGCTTTTGTTCTGTACGAGATGCATATTCTGCACCAGGTGCATACTCTGCATATACTATAATATTCTCATTCACACCACACTTTGAAAAATTCCTACAGATGAAATCATTATTCGATATTCGATTCAATATTCTGCTTTTCTGTCTTAATTCGATTCGGTATTCGATTTGATAACTACTATTCGGTATTCGCACGCCCCAAACTATTAGTATTGTATTGTCATTGTACGTGGGTGCTTTGTCGTTTCATACGGTCCAAGAAACTGCTCGTTTGTGTTGTGCTATACCATTTGAGAACTTGAAGAGCATAATTCTCGCCCTTCTTTTCAGCACTCGCAAACGGATGTCTGTCATTGTGCGAACGCCACAGGGCAAGATAAAGCTGTTCTGCAAAGGGGCCGTGCGTACCGACTTCATTTTTACGACTCCAATTTAACGGCCTAGCTAGAGTTCAGCAGTTTAGCTCTCGAGTAGAGCTACAACATCGACCGACCATGCAACGCTCCAATTTGTGCATATATCTTGTTGTTTGTGTGTTTCTTTAAGAATTAATATTTAAAACAGTGAATTTTAGAAAGCCAGTCTCCCCAAATATCTGTCATGATTGTCCTCAGGATACTGTGATTTACGAGAGGCTAGGCAGCGAGAGCCAGAGCTTCAAGGACATCAACTTGAAACACCTGGAAGAGTTTGCCTCTCAAGGTGGGTCCAAACCTGTCAAGTGCTTCTAGTATGTGAGTTAGGAATCTCTAGATTATCTGGTGGAAGCTTTGATTCTAGTTTTGTGCACTTCAGTGCTCATTGTTTCGGAATTTTTTTTGTTCATGGATAGTTTGTGTGGCTTGTGAAGGAATTATTTGGGTCTGCGAGTTGCCCGTTAATTTGTGTGGTCTTGAGCCTGCTTCCCTGAGATGCAGCCGTGCGTTATGGCACAAGCATTGCATTCCCACACTTCTTTCACAAAGTTTATGTTTCACATCTTAGGTGTAAATTTTAAAATAACATGGCGTTCATCCAAACTATCGTTAAGCTGTCGTATTGGCACACTAGTTTTCGCTGCTTGATTTTGTTAGCGGAAGTGGTTGAGCAGAGCCTTCTTGCATTGCACGCGTGCTACTGTGCCTGCAGTTTCAGTTTGAGTAAGTTACTATTTGTGTAAATATGTGGCAGGGTCACTTTTGGTGCTTGGTACTAGCCTACCTTATAAAAAAAAGTTGCAAGTGCCGATTTTATATTCTTTCAGACAGTATTGCATCATGTGTAATTTGATCACATGTGGATCCTTTCACCTTTAACGTAACATTCTATGTATATTTTTGTTTGTTTTCACATTCAGGACTGAGGACCCTGTGCCTTGCTCAGGCGGAGATTTCTCCGGTCTACTATGAGGTAATGTGGACATGTTCATTTCACAGAGTTCTTGGGCTTGTTGCTTTGCATGCAAACTGAGTTTAAACATGTTTCCTTTAAGGTTTTTTAGTGTCTCAATTGTAAAACGAGATAAATGAAATTTCAGCTAGAAAGAACTGTGTCTTGCATTCCCTAGCCTAGTGTTCAAGAAAGCTGGTTTGACATAAAGACGTCGAGGTCATCACAGAAAGGAATGACAGTACTAGGAAGATTGCAAAAAGGCTGGCCTCACATCTAGGAATTGTGTGCTGCAATTACCCTTTTGGGCTAGAGTTGAATATATGCACATATTCTGTTTGGATTCGAAAGGTCGTACCAGTCTAGAACTGAAATAGAATTATTTGAAATATTCAATTCAACTATTGCAACAAAATGCGAATTAGGTTCTAAAACAGTTGGCTTTGCATATTTTAATGGTACTATGCGTACCAACAATGTTGCAGAAAAATAAATAAATTGGGTTGTGTATATGTTTATACAGCCTAGAACTTAGTCTGCCTCAACGGGCGACGAGTCACACGCTGTAGATGAGCAATTTAGCCAGTGCAGTACAACCGCTAGCCTGGGGTCTTTAACGTGCATGACGCAGTAGTGATACATGACAGCACGCCAGTATGATGCTCATCCAGATCGAAACGGGCAGGGGTGGGGATTGAACCCAGAAGGTTCTGCAGCGCAAGCTTTTGTTCCACGTGTTCCGAGCTGGTGTGCGCTAGCCCACTCGGCCACCAATCCCCCAAACAATGTTGCAGAATGAAGTATGCAATTGGTTTTAGCGTGTAGCTCTTAGGCACCCGTTTCCGGCTTGAGTGGCGTCAGCATAACCGCATGTGTTGCGTTATGGGGCATTTCCCTGCTAGAGTTGGAGGGGAAATTTTCCTGCTTAATTTAGTGAGAAATCTTTCCGCTAAATTTAGCGGGAGATTTTCCTGCTAAATTTTGTGGGGAAATTTTTTCAGCTAAATTTAGCGAGACATTTTTCCCGCCAAATTTAGTGGGGAAGTTTTCTGCTAAATTTAGCAAGGAAATTTTTCTGCTAAATTTAGGGGCGAAATGTTACTGCTAAATTTAGGGGGAATTTTTTACGCTTAATTTACCAGGGAAATTTTCCTGCTGAATTTAACGGAAAAATTTCCTTACTAAATTTAGCAGAAAAATCTCCTGCAAAATTTAGCGGGAAAATTTTCGCCAGATTTAGCGAGATATTTAGCAAAAAGTTTCTTTTAATGGAATGGGAGCAGGAGAGGAGTTGGGGAGGGTACGAGGGTTAGAAGGTGCATACCCTCCCCTTTGTACCCTCCCTTCCTCCTCCTCAAGAACTGCACTCTAATTCAACATTACAGAGAGTTGTAGACATCTTTCATAACTTTAAAGATTTTGTTTGATGAGAGATATATGCACATTTTTTTATCCGGGAGTGTTTGAACAGGCATGTAATTCTGTGTTTTGGAACGGCGTCAAATGCGGCAGTTTTAAGACTGCACCTCGCCTTTTTGCATTGGTAAGCCTTTCCGGTGGCTCGGTAAAGCAAACAACTCTTCCTCCTACCGCAGGAGTGGAAAGCCTCGTACCATAAGGCCGTGACGTCGATCCAGTTCAAGGAGCGCAAGATTGACGATGCGGCGCAGCTCATTGAAACGGTAATCCAGAATATGATGGCATGCCCCGCTACGTGACATTGTCACATGCGTTGATTTTCAAAGTATATGAGGGTTCGTGAAGAAAGCAATTTTCTACTTTTCAATTTGGCTTACTATTTGCCTTTCCTCGTGTGTTGAACGTATGGTTAGCTCATCATGTCGCGCCTCACAAGCAGCTTGTGATTTCGCAGGTGGAGTAGGTCGGCGAAATTGCTTAATAATAGACTGGACCATACTCAGTGCCCGCTGAGTTACCGTTTAATATTTCTGAAGTGGGAACACCAAAAGATGTGCTTGTCTCATTACCGCTCTTTCAGAATCTGTCACTCCTGGGATCAACCGCCATTGAAGACAGGTTGCAGGATGTAAGTCTCGTCTGTTTGCAAATTTCCAGCCGATTCTCCTGGAATGTGGCGTTTCAAAGCGTCCTTGCTAGCCCTGTTTACCACATAAAAATGAGGAAGTAAGGAGCCTAAAGCAAATAAGCCCTGCATCTCTTGGCCGTTGCTCACTCTAAGTGGCTTTTCTTTCTTCTCTCTTCTTGTTGGGTAGGGCGTCCCAGAGACGGTGGCAGACCTGCTCAAGGCGGACATCAAGATCTGGGTCCTGACAGGCGACAAGCAAGAGACGGCCATCAACATCGGTGAGCTTTTTTCAGGCCTCCCAGCGTCTGAACTTTGTCGTCCGCTCCTTGTAGCAACAGGCGTGTGGGAAACGATCGATTTTGCCGCCAGTCTTTCGTCCTTTGGAACGAAGCTTTGCAAGAGTGTTCTACGGAGGTTTGTGCATCTGAAAAATGCCTTTTTTTAAAAATATAGCAATTTTTAAGCTGTTTTTTAAAGCACCTTTGACGAGCTGTTCGTGCGGATCTACAGTGAAACCCGTTTAGAACGAACCCACGTACAGCGAATTATTCTCGCTATTGAACTCACGGAAAGTTTAAATCAAAATGCATGTAAAAAGTACATTTTATAACGAATACCACATTGACTATATCAAACTTTTTCCCCTGGGAGGGCTTCCAAAAACGTGCAAACAATCGTCTTCTAGCCTGTCCCTTCCTCCCCAAAAAAAGTAGGTAATGGTGAATTCCACTCGTAGATCTGGAGCGCTTTCCAAAATCCGTGAGGGAGGCAAAATTCCGCTCCGTGGGACCCGCTCCGAATCGACGAGGGGAAGATAAACTTGCATTTTTGGAGCGACCTCCCCCACACCCCTCCCCACCCCTTCTCCCTCCGCCATACAAAATGGCCGCTGCTCGAACTTGACCAGCCCACCAACGCCTCAGCCGGCTGATCTTTCCGACGACCAGTGACGACTGTCACTGCTTAGCTGCAGAAGTAACACGCCACACAGGCCGGGCGAAATTATACATACCGCTGCGCCCATGTCACAAATAACGAAGACGTCCGCGTTCGGCACCATCGCATACCTTTCGGCCACCTCGAAGCGGCGGGGAACGGACAGCGATTGCCAGCGGTGGAGTTCAGATTTGTAGTACGACTTTAAAGGGATACTACAACGAAATTTTGGCGCTCATTTTTTGGTCTATATATGTGTTCAAAAGATCAGTATCACATGGGACATACCAATATCTTGTTAAAAAAGTCTCGAAAAGGAATTTTAAAACGAATTACACGATTAGCAAAGAGCACCTGGTGGATGTCGCTAACGCCTCGTTTGTAATGCTCGTCTAGGAACCTTGACAGCTAGTGACGGAGGTTGTCTCGTCTCCGGCCACGACGAGAAAAGGGGGCAAGGAGGAACTCCCCTCTTCCCGAGAATCCCTTTTGTGTGTCGCAGAAGTCGATATTGTCCCCCTAGAAGATTATAGAAGATTAACGCGTCACTCAAAATTCGTACAAAAGCAGCCGCTTCGGTGGCTGGAACGATTAGGCCATCCTCTCGACGTCAGCCTCGCCGTAGCTTTGCTCGTCTTGAGACGACCTACATCACGATTGCGTTGGATGTCACGTGCTCTAAGCTGGGCCTTCTCCGAGCGCTTGCCAGAGTGGGCTGTTTATAACGAAAAATACAGCCACCAGGATCAAAATACAAACGTGCGATTGTCATTTACGGATATTGTGGATCATATTCAACCTATTTTTGAACACGACGGGAATATTTCAAATTTCGTTGAAGTATCCCTTTAATAAACACAGAGGTAACAAACCATCACTTTCGCGGTCGTTGCCTAACCACTTCTTGCTTTATTTCACGGGAAAACGCCGACGAAATGCATTGTAAAAAGGTAAACAATCACTGGCTGCAGAATGAATAGGCCTAACCTTGCGTCTGCCTCCGGCTTTTCTGTCGTTCTTTTTCTCGTTCTTCCTCTCACGATAACAGACGTTAGCGCTTGTGATTTGCCACGCTCCACATTCCCGGCTTTTTATCCCTGATCTACGCGAGGTAGAAGCGTTCGAGCCGTCACAATCCAGAGTAAACAACCGACGCACCCAAACAGATCCAACTCCACGACCCGACCGGCCCGCCAATCTCTCCAACCTCGCCGCGCATGCGCACCGCCGATTTAGACGGAAATCACGTGGGCCGCTCTGTCAGCTTCCGGAGAGATCCGTAAAATCCCGCAGAGCAAGTTCGGCGGAGTTTGGGGCACTCCGTGGAGCGGGTGCTGCCAGAGATCTATGAGCGGAAGATGACCAACTTGAGCCAGATCTGCGAGCGGAATATGCGCGCTCCAAATGGAGCACTTTTGGAGCGCTCGAGATCTGCGGCGGCGGAATTCACCATAAGAAAGAAAATTCCGAAAGCTTGAGCCGCGAACAAAATTGTGCGAAGAGAAGCAATTCAGAAGGGGGAGAAAGCTAAAAATACTGCATGCACGCACAGAAAAGAAAGCTTTTCCATCCTAAAGTGGTTTGTCATGAAGAGAAGCGAGTCAGAAAGGGAGATAAACTAGAATGGAAAAAAAAAAAAAAGTTTCAGCGCATTGTTACAAGGTGGAGGTGAAGAGATGAGAAAGAAAGAGAAGCTCGTGCCTTACAACAAACGCATCGTGGAAGTTCGTTGTAAATGGTTTTTGCTATATCGAACTGATTGTAGCGTTTCCTGCTGTTCGTTTATAAACGGGTTTGACTGTAGATTTTAGGGAAAAGGGACTTAAAGCGACACTTTAAAATCGCGTTCCTTCGCTGCGGTCCTCTAATTTCAGTATAACTTTTATCTTTTTTTTTTTTCAATCACAATCTTTTAGTTGAAAGTTAACGGGGTGGTTTTTGAATCCCGTGTCCTACTGCTTCTCACGACAAAACCGAGTCGGAACATAGCCATAACTCGGGTGTTTCTCGCAAGGCAGTCTCGCCTCGCTGATTGGTCGTATTCCACCCGCAGGCTACTCGACGCACCTCATCTCCCAGTCGATGCCGCTTCTAGTCATCAACGAAGACAGTCTAGACGTGAGTACCATCTCCCTTTGCATCAACTCCTTACGGTTTCCTTTGTTTTTGAGGCAGGATGCTTTTGCGAATTGGTTTTCTAGGTTGAGAGCGCCTCAAAGTGTTGTTACAGAAACGCGACAACGCGGCCAGGTGTTTTTATAAAGACCCTGGACCTCTCGCTTCGTAGTCACTCTACCCCTGTCTGTGCCACTGGAGTGGTGTGGACAAAACAGCTGTAGTCCACTGCCGTTGCCATAGAAGATTTGTTATCCCCACCCCAGAAGGGGCCTTGCGGGATCACGTCGCCACTGTAGGTGTCGCGTGGTCCTTTGAGAGTTACGTCATTGTATTAGCCGACCATGTTATGAAACGGAATATGGTAATTGCGCTGTCACCCGACTGTGTCACGTGACATGCCGATGATGTTGTGTACCGCTTTCCGATAGCGGGGAGACCACTCTGCGTATCCCTGATTTCACACGTAGGATAGTGGTTACACGTTTTGTGCGCTGTTTAATCTTAACGATGTACCAACTAGCTCAAATTACCACTTTGCTACAACATGTTTTTTTTTGGGGGGAATTCTAACTTTTTACTTTATTTCCACAAAAAAAAAAAAAAAGTAAGGTAGAGGAAAAAGACATTGCGGTCTCGCTTTAATTAATGGTATAGTCACCGCGATAGCTGCGACTCGACGGCAAAGTCTCAATGCGGAGCTCAAGCTTGTCTGCTTCTTGCACAGCGGTTGCGACGACTTCAGAACACCATATTTTTATTGACCGATTGAGAAAGAAATACTAGGGGGTAGACCTCGAGGCATCTAGCATTGAGGTCTACCCTCGTCCTTCCAATCAAAGCCAATTCGGCGACGTCAGAATGACGGCGATATCACTTTGTTGTCGCCGCATCTCTTGCGCGAAAAGCAGACGACTTTCTCTCCACGTCGGCTTTGTTCTCACGAGCACGCACCTCACAGTTCACCCCGCGACGAGCGGCGAGACGCGCCAGCATCGCCGTTGGCGCGTTTTTCAGCATCCCGCATGAGGTGCGACGCCGAGGCGCCCCGCGTCCGTCGCTTTGCGCCACACTCTCGTCGAGTTTCGGCGCGTCTGCCGCACCGGGTGGCTCAGGGACCTGCCGACGACGACGTAATGCACAAGCCCGTCTCGTAGGTGATATCGAATGGATGGATACGGCTAAGCGCTTTTAGTCGGGTGGCGGCTCGTGCCACGTGGCCGAAGGCTTTTAGTAATTAAATTTGCGATTAATTGAGAATGAAGAAACAAGTCGTAGCAATTGTGGCTATCTAGTGGGCAGTACACGAGGCTCGTACGCATTGCGCTTGTTTTCCACAACTACCATGTCTAAAACTGATTGTCAAAGTTGTCATAGCCGTGGCGTAGCTCCGTGGTAATGCGCCCGCTTCGCACGCGGCTGATCCCCTGGACCAAATCCCGAGAGAGGCGGACAATCCTTTTTTTTAGGCAGTTGGCAACACTGACGATGTGCGCCCTACGCCCTATTACGCCAACTTCAACGGAATTTATTTCCAGTGGTGGGAAGAGCCCGCAGCAGCCGTCGCTGTAAAAGCTGCTGTTGCCGCTTCACGAGGCCTCTCGCGCTTAAGGACCGTTCACACACTTTGACCTCTTGGAACCAAGTGCCTTGAAACCTCTTAATTTCTCTTACGACGAGAGGATACGCTGGCGCCATCTATTGGGTAGCAGTGTAAACTTGGCGGTCCGGCATATTTTCTATTTCTCTCGCGCATTATCCTGTCTTTCTTGGCTCGAAAAACTTTTGTCAACGTTTTAAAAGAGCCTTTGTCACAGGTATTACGCACATTTGACCTCGGAAGTCCCGCAAAACCTTCGCTCTTGTGAAATGCAGTTCCAGGTTCGCCGCATAGATCGCGCCAGCGTGCCGGTGTGTTCTCTCGTCCTAAGAAACTTTAAGAGGTTTCAACGGGTGTCGTCTCTCTCGGTCGTACTCGGTTGCAAATGTGTGAGCGGGCCTTTACAGTTCAGCGCTCGGACCGTACGTGGATAAATTTATTTAAAGCGTAAGATTCATTCAAATTATTAAATATCTTTTACCACATTAGATCCGTATAAATTGATACTAAACGCAACTGATAAGGACGCTATAATTGTTTTTTTACTTCACATCTCAGTTGCATTCTTTTTACAGCAGAGCTGTTCAGGGCTAGTTTCCCCAGTATCGTGTCCGCGGGCCAACAAATGTCTAGACAAAACTCTGGACAGCTACCGCCATCTAAGAGCGACAGAGGCAACCATACAACCGGCTTGCCGGTTGTTTGGTTGCCGCCGTTGCTCATAGACGGCGGCAACCTTTCCAGCCTTTTCACTTTGGTTTTCATCAAAGTGGAAAGGCTGAATTTCTCTAGACGTCGTCCTAGAAGTCGTCCTTGAGACCGTCCTTGAGGTCGTCCTAGACGGCGTCCTCTAGGCATAGTCCAAGACGTTGTAAAGATAACAGCTTCGCTGTTCCTCCATCTTCACGTGAAGTAAATGGGCTCTACATTTTCTTTTAAATAAAAAACAATGGGAAAATGGGAAGAGTAGATTGAAAGGTTACTCAGTCTTCAATTTTATTTAACGAGAAAAGAAACACGGTTATCGAATTGTTGCTTGCTGTTTTTGGTCCTTCTTCCGAGAATGCGAGAAACTTGGTTTGCACGGTGTGGATGACGCATCTATTTCCCTTAAATTGTCACCGTGTGCGCAGGCCACGAGGGAAGCCATCCGGAGGCACGTCCACGACTTCGGAGATCTGCTCGGGAAAGAGAACGAGCTGGCTCTCGTCGTGGATGGAAAAGTGAGTACTTCTGCGGGCGTCCCTACCTCTGAGCACGCTCTTGTGTCGGAACCTTAGTGCAAGCGGTTTGGCCTCTTGTGGAGCGTTACTAATTTACCTTTGCACGTAAGGAGCTAGGGTATAGTTGCTTGCTCTTGTAAGATTGTTTATTTGTGACTTCATCAATGCATGGGTATATTTGGAATGCAAGAGCGTAACTTTTTCTCCTCTGTCGACCGAGTCTCGTGTAAGAACTGCTCTGTGTGGCGCATGAACTGTGTTCAAAATTTGCTCTTCTCTTTGAATGTTAACGAGTATAGAGAAGCGTGACTTTGTAGGGTGTTTTCTAGAACCTTGCTTTTGTTTTTCCACTTTCGTATCATTCTCGAAGAAACCGAGGAGATTTTTATGTTGTCTCTTTAGTTCGCTGACTTGATCTGCGTGATCGGGTACTTGTAAGGAAATCGAGTTCTTAGCGCGTGCGCCCCACTTTTTCTTACAGCAGACTCTCGATAATTCGAAGCTCGCATCTGTGACTTTTGTGGGAATAACAGCGTAATGTACGCTCCCGCAGCCATGCCGGCTTAGCTTGGCTTGGCTTAGTGTGGCTTGGCTGCTTTACTCTTTCCTGACCACGGGAAAAGTAGCAATTTTCGAAAGATCCGTGCAGACGCTTTTGTTATCCTAACTAATTCGCGCATTTAGCGATATGATACATCAAAATGTGGCCAGTTGTTGTTTCAAAAGAAACAAGTTGACATAATGTGGGAAAAAGATTTTAAAATTTTATTCCTTGAAAATACAGTAGTACATGCCGAAGGCGTATAAATGCTGAGACTTCCAGAGCTATATCAAATTAAACGACAATTTTAAAAAATTTTCAGAATGTGCAAAATCTGCCCTGCGCCCACGGCTATTACTTCTGAAAGTCAGTGCACTCTAGCTGACATTGTCTATTTTTGGTTCGTCAAAGAGTTAGCCTCCGTAGCACGTGCTTATATTGGCGAAACACAGATGGTACATCTCACATGCCCAGTAGAATGCTTTCTTTGTGTTCCACCTTGGTTTTGTCATAGCCACGATTGCAGTTCCCTCATATTTAGCATTTTTGTCTGCCTTATTGGGAGTACAAAACGTGCACGCCGGCTCAGGACAGCATTGGAAATTATAGTGACACTTCCCGACAGCCATCTGTTGAGCAACGCCTATAGCATCATTTAAATTGCCGCCAGAGCTCTTGAGGTCTAACAAATATGCCACAACACAGTTGAGTTATCTCAAAAAAAATAATGCCATCTTTGTTATGAAGACGAATGCAAGCAGTTAGTCATGTTAGAAAAGTGCAACCACCGTTCCCAGGACTATTTTTGACAGCCCACCAGATTGTGATAAAGCTCAAACCTACATTGATACCGAAACTAGAGTTCTTCGGCGATCCGCGAAATTCTGGAAGGTAATACCCCGCACCAAATTTAATTTCTTGATGGCGCTTGGAAACCGTCAATTACTTGACCTATTAGCGCGGTCAGGAAAGAGTTCATTGTCTTGCCCACCTGGCAGCTAGTTTGCGCCCCGCGCCCGTTCCCTCTCTTGCCCGACCACACCCCCTCTTCGTACTGACCGAAAATTTAATAAAGCGACTTTGAATTACCGAGAGTCGACCGCAGTTCGAAAAACGCGGCCAAAGACGAATTGTTGAGGGATATGGCCACGACAAAAGGAGCCAGTCGTTAGTGCCAGCTCTCCAAAGTCGCGACAAACTCTGCCGCTTTTTTGTGCGGTCTTGGAAAGGCGTGGCGCGCTCGCAATTGGCCCTTACGCCAGCGACTAGGTGCTTGCGGCAGGACGACTAGCGCGGTGGACATTTGTCGTATAAAAGGGTGTGCCGAAGGTGTCGTTAGCTTTAACGCTTGGCACGTCGGCTTCACATATGCGACGGAGGCAAGCCGAACGATAAGCTGGTCGAGGCGCTACTCTCTGGCAGAGTAACATGTTGTGACGGTAAATGTAACGGAATGAATGCGGACGAGCGTTTTTACGACGAAAAGACAAGTTCGGTGATGTCGGGGTCGCTTTTGCGTTTGTGATGGAGGTGGTACGATGAATATAGTCTGATTGTAAGGCAACTAGTGGATTGAGTTGAGGACGGCGCCTCGTTGCAGACGCTCAAGTACGCCCTCTCCTCGGACGTGCGACGAGACTTCGTGGACATTGCGCTTTCCTGCAAAGTCTGCATCTGCTGCCGGCAAGTGACCTCCCATTGCACATTTTTAGTGGGTCTGGTGCAAGGGAAGGGGGCAACACACTGGTTCTAGAGTTTTTTTTTACATAACTTGCAATTCATTTCAAATGAAATTTACGTAGCTTGTCTGCCTTTACAATTTGACTACAAAATAAGTGCTTAGTTTTGATGTAGCCCAATTAGTTTCTGTTAATGTTGTAAGTTTCATTTGCAAAGATTATGAAAAGGTGTTAAAACAAATTGAAGTCCTGAAATAAATATTAAAAAAAAAAGTATCTTCATAAATTGAAAGGTTTGTGGATCCTAGATAGTAAGGTATAAATGAAAGCTCTAGGATGATTTATAAGCTTTTTATAACACTTGAATTTTCCAGTTTCAGAATTATTTATTGCAATAAATACAAGACTCATCTTAAAAAAAAAATCTGGTGCCTTATCTAACATATATCTGTACCCCTTATTGGATACCTCACACCTACCAGAAAAAGAAAGCATATTGAAGATTGGATGTGTGCAAGTGGAGGTATGGCTTCCATAAAATAGTGAAGTGTGCAAATACAGTGCAATCCGCTCATAACAATACCACATATAACGATGTACCGCTTATAACAATCAGTTTCTAGAGCTTCTAGACTGGAAATGATCAGTTTCTAGTCCAGATACAACGATAATCGGTTATAATAATCGAACATTTTGGGTTCTCTCATTATCGTTATAAGTGGGTTACATTGTAGCTCACTTTGAAAAAAATAGCAAAAAAGGTGTGCAGACCCAGTTTACTACCTATGTGTTCAAGTCAATGCTTCAAGATAAGACTTATTTCAGAAAAATACTTTAAAATAAAATAAAAGCTTGTCAATCTTCAATTTAAAAAAAAAAAAAAAAAAAAACAATTTAATAGCACAGTGTTTGCTTTTATGTATTGCTCTCTATGTACGAGCAGACTGTTTATTGCTGCATTTATTGTTACTACAGTGTGCACGGTCGTGGGTGTTTCATTTCGCTGCATTTCGAATGGGGAATGCTGACCTAGTGTTATGGCCAAAACGAGGTAGCCGTAAAGGATACCTTTCAGCGTGACTGTGGCAGATTAGTTGAGACTGTAAGTCATTTTATCGTCTCCATTTTTTTTTTTTTTTGGCTCGCCTTACTTTTATTGAAATTGAGCATATGAGGTCTGAACAACAAAGCTGTTTAGCATTTTGTTTTCTTTGCTTTGGGATCCTCTTTTCGCGGAGTTTGCGTCATTGTTTTTTGGGTGTCCAGGTTTTTTGGTTCTAAAAGTCCACTATTGGGATAAATACAAACAAAGTGCAACAGAAATTTCATTCATTTCATTTCATTTATTTTTTCTCGGGGCCCAGAAGCATCACGGACAGGAGTGAGTTTAACACAAATATATATTATATCAACGAACAAGGCAAGAATAGGAACAGTGGCTAAGGAACAACAAGAAAATTAGTAATTATAATTTTAAAATTGGCAACATCAGTTTTGAGACCATGGGTGCGGGAAGATGATTCCAATCTGTGGAGGTTTAGGAAAGAAAAGAGGCATTAAATGATGAGGTGTTAAAATGAGGTATGCCTAGCTTTCACTGGTGATTTGTTCGTGATGATATGCAAGATGGTTCTATCAACAAGTTGTTCTATGGGTTCTATCACGGGCTATGCGGAGCGCCAGTGTGTCTGCTTCTTTTGCGGGGGCTGTGGTGACGTCAGAACTCCAAGCTCCGATTAGCTCTGATTGAAGGATAGTGGGTAGACCTCAAGGCAGCTTGCTTTGAGGTCTACCCACTATCCTTCGATCAGAGCCAATCGGAGCTTGGAGTTCTAACGTCACCACAACCCCTGCAAAAAAAGTAGACGAACTGGTGCTTTGCATTGTTGCTACGTCTTGTCTTCTTTGGTTGGGTAACGGATTGCAAATTCGGTGTTTGTAAAACCGTGCAGGGTGTCCCCAATGCAGAAGGCAGAGATTGTGGACATGGTGAAGAGTTCAACACACTGCGTCACGCTCGCCATCGGAGACGGCGCCAACGACGTCGCCATGATTCAGGTGACTACCCTCCCCCCCCCCCCCTATCGATTCTGGCTTCTCAGACAATTGTCATTGCTCTCGAGCACGCAGTCGTGTTTCGAGTCGGCGGCGGACACGTTACGGACACCTAGCTTCGAAGGGACATTAGGATGCGATCCTTCTGAATTTTATTTCGCGGGTTTCGGTCGAGTTTTGGAACTCCCCGCACAACTATCGGTCCACGGGTGCACCTGAAGATTGCTTGGTTGTTAATTTTACTTCATCTGTGCTTTTAGAGAACCTTGAACGTTGCAAGCGTAATACAGATCTTCGTGCCTTTACCGACACCCTCAAGGACGGTCATGAGCACGGTGCTTGGAATGGGCTGATTTTGCAGCAGAGATAGAGTTTCTTTTCAGCCCAATGTGTTTTGTGTGGCGTTTTCTATGCAAAAATTGTCGTGAGTGAGCGTCATGATCGAGTGACACGCTGGGAGCATTGCAGACGTTAAGCTTATATTTAAGGCTGGAGCACTCGGCAGGGCTCGAACCCAGGTCGGTGCAGTGGCAGTCGGACACTATGACCACCGAGCTACTAGCACAGCTGGTCCGGAAGGGCTCAATGTTTTTTTACAGCCGAGCTGTTAAGGGCTAGGTTCCTCAGGATCGTGTCTGTGTATGTCGACACAAAACTACCTGGACAGCTACTGCCATCTATAAGCAACGGCGGCAAGTACACAACCAGTATGGTTTCGCCGTCGTTCGTAGATGGCGCCAACCTTTCCAGCTATCATAGAAGAATGGATAGTTGGGCGTGTTGGTGGGAATTCATCGTAGGAAACAGTGCGAAAAATAGACGGCGACGAAGAAGCAGCACACAGTGTATCGAGTACAGCTCCGCTGGTCCTCCTTCTTCACGAGAGTGGAAAGGCTGAACAATTTTTGTTTTTTTTATTTGAATGCAAAAGTGCCAGCAGCAGTGGACGATTTGGATGAAAGTAATGAATGCAATAAATAAAAATAAACAGAAATAAAATAAAACAAATAATATAAGTAGGCAATTCGCGAAAAATACGTCCTGCGAACAATTTCGTTAAAATGTAAACACACTGGGATCTATATTGAGATCCCACCGCATCTCGAAAATTGGAACCCACAAATTATTTCAAAACTCACGCTTTGACGTAAATTGCGAATTATTGGGCCTGCGAAAAATAAGTTGTTTACAGTATTCATTGTTATTTTAGTTATATGCTTAAAGGGAGGCTGAGTCGAACTGTGGATTTTACAAAATAAGGTAGCAGGAGTGTTCAACAGGGGGCACCACAAACCTCAAAACACCACTCATAAGGCGATATCTCGAACGGATGGCCATACTTTTTGTAAAATAAGGATACGATTGTGTGAGAATCGCGACATCGCGTTTACCGCAGAATTGTTGAGGAGGAGAGAAAACGGCCTTGCTTCCTTCCTTCTGCGCGTCCTCGCGGAGTCAAAGTGAGAAGAGGAGGAAACAAGAATCGCAATGTCGCGGGCCTTTTTGGCCTTGTTCAAACGCTTTCTTCATTCACAAAAATACAACCATCTGCTTTATATCGCTTTATGAGTGATGCTTTCGGGTTTGTAGCGTCCCGCCCAGTGCTCCTGCATTGTTTTCCGAGATGGAAATTTCGGTTCAGCATCCCTTTAAAAGGTTCACTGCCGAGGAAGTCGACCCACATGGTACGAGAGCCCAGTTACCAGCAACTTGGGGGTAGGAATTTCTCTATGCCTCTTGTCGGTCAGGCTTGGTGTGTTCACGGGGACAGAAGCTCTGGGTAGTGACATCGCTCTTGTCTGCCAATTTAAGTTTTTCATGCCGAACCATTCTGCCACACTTTCCTGGCTTTTTTGTGACAGCTTTAACTTGCGGTCCTTTAATTTGCCGTTTGGTCGGCTGATCGACCTTCAGTTATGCAATCTGCATTGCATTGGGAAAGGCTGTACCTAGTTTGTTGCGACACAACTTTTTAAGTTTGATTTTAGTTTTCTAGATTCTTGTCGTGGGTGCAATGCATGCAGTGACTGACCGGGACAAACGGCCAGTTCTAGGTGCAGCATCGTGGCGGGCGCGATAATCTGTCAGCGTGTTATGTTTGTTTTCAGTCTGCTCACGTGGGCATTGGAATCAGCGGCATGGAGGGACTGCAGGCGGCGTGTGCATCGGACTACTCCATCGCGCAGGTGTGTTTAGGTTTTGGAAGTATGGGTAGTGTACACATATTCCGTCCAGAGCTTAACACCGTCATTCTGTGATATCCTGAGAGATGGCCCGCTACGATTGATAACCCTATCTAGAAATTGCATCACTCGAGTTCAGACGAATTCTGAAATGAAGTAGGGAACATTAGCTTTGACAACAGCAACAACTGTTCCTTTGCCAGTTTAGAAGACAATCAAATAAAAATAGTTATTTTCTTGCCTTTCAGCTAATACCATACTCGAGGCATGATTAGGGCAGCTGATTTAGGCACGAGTGAACTAGGAACCGAGACGAGCATTTGTTTCCAGTTTTTTATTTTCGTGTTTTGAAGATGCACTTCCAAAGCTAGCTTGCCCTGTTTTATACCTCTTTAGGTGTGTGGGCCCCTCTCTGTAATATAACGGTAGGATGGCTTAATTTGGAGTGTCTGTCGCTGACTGACCCCGTCCCAATGCTGGCACGAACTGTTCTCAAATGTCGGACTGACACACTGTGTCAGCAAAATGTAAACTTCATGAGCCTACGTTTGTGCAAATCTTTGTTAGAATGTGACAGTGCGCAAATGCCTAGACTATCTCTGTTCGTCTCCATTTTTTTTGTCACTTCCGGCAAACGAAGTGTGGGACCTCCCTAATAATTATGTGCAAGTGACGAATCGGGCCCCAATATTCGCCTGTCTTTGTATGCATTCAGAGGGTAGTCTCTGTCGCTGTGTTATTGTGTCAAAAGTTGTTTGTATTAGAAAGGGAGTTCCCACCAGATGAGACTTTGCTTGGTGGCTGATAAAACATGGATTTCTTTTAGTTCCGGTTCCTGCGTCGCCTGCTCTTTGTTCACGGCGCCTGGAACCACAACCGGATGTGCCGACTCATCCTCTACTCATTCCACAAGAACATCTGCCTTTATGTTATTGAGGTGAGCCAAGGTCGATTGCTCGAGTTTTTTTTTTTTATATTGCAGCATAGTACACCCGTGAGCGATATGAAGGTGAACAGCCCTCTTCTTGTTTTTGACGCTCTTGCAAGTTTTGGAACAAGCTCTGTTCCAGAAGAGGGCTAGAATGCAAAGTTTAGACCCTTGGCCACGTACCATTTGAGACGTTGAGAGTTAATATAGCTTTAGGGAGCCGTAAAACAGGCATGAAACCAGGTAAGGTGTTCACCTTCATATTGCTGGCGGGTGTACCTATTTTCTGCCACTCACGGTGTACATATTGAGAGTGTTCAGGAGGGACTTTCGATAAAGCCGGGAATGCTCTTACAGAAGAACAGCGACAGTGTGTGATCTAGTGTTTTCCTGAAGCTTGGTTTACGTCTAATCAATCGGAGATTCATCTGACGTCGAGGCTGCGGAGCTTGCAAAGTCATATGGGTTCTTTGTAACTAGGTATTCTGATGCCAAACACTTCTAAAGGGATCACCAGCGAGATTTAGTGCCCCACATTTAGCCAGTTGTTGATGTACTTTCTGACTTTGGTACTGTACAATATACCTCGGGTTTTCTGCGCGCCAATTTGGCTGTCGTCGAGTGTGCTACAAAGATGGCTCTTCTCCTAGGCTCAAAATCTGAGATTAATAGTTTTAGTAACAAGTAGTAATTACCTGGAAAAACCAGGGAATTGTCAGAGATATTGTCAAAAAGCGAGCCCCAGTCAGAGAGAATGAGCCAGAAACACCATCAAGTGTCCTGAGCAAAGTCTTAAGGGCTTGGGGGCAGAAAAATATGCAATCAAGTGTGCTTGGAGGGGAGCGCTGGCTCTGCTCACCCAGTTAGAGTGTACTACCCGATGCAAAGGAAACGGCCGACAAATCCAGTCCAAGCCTTGGATCGGATTGGATTGAGGGCATGACACTAGGCTAGGTCTAGTTAGAGCTACTAGATTTAGTAACAAATGGAAAAGTCGCAGACCCCAATCCAATCCAAGCCGAAAGTATCCAAAAGAGTGCATCTGGCGGCCATGCTGCCATTCGGTTATCAACGCGTGTGGTTGAGCGTTGTGTTTTCATTGTGTTTCCGGAAGTGGCCTCTTCACTGACAATGTCGGCGGCAAGGAAGTGCTCGTTTCATCCGGAGTGACGCACCCGAATATTTCGAAAAATGCAAGTTGGATTGGGCCCGTGCAAAATGATTCTCACAGTGCGCCTTGTGTTGTAATGGTCTTATATGTTTAACTGCCTCTACAATGGTCAGGGACTTTTACCTGAAACTGTCAGAGAAAACCTGGAAAAGTCAGGGAATTTCACAATGATAATTTGCTAGATACCCTGATGAATATGAATCGAATAGGAAGTTCCCGAATGGGGAGTTCCCGAATATTTCGATTTGTGAACTGAATTTCTAGCATTTGGTCACTCAAATATTCACTATATTTGGCGAAAGACGCACGGTCGACATGGAGCTGACAAAAGAGCCGTTTTTCCTTCCAATGTTAGCGCAGTAATGTTGAACAGATCATGCGAGAAACACCGTTTGGTCCTACCATTCTGCATAAATATAGCAACGTAGGTCAGGAGAAAGAAAAAAATGAACACCATTAACTTTATAGCATGCAGATTTAATCACAATCCTGGCACAATCTAATCTTGAGGCACAACCGTAACATCCTGTTTGCACATGGTGAAACTGACTGGTAAGATTGCTCTATTCAGGCTGTTTGTTCTTGCAGCCCCATTGAGTGCGCTTCTTCCGAGTGCAGAAAGGCAAGACCTGCGGAGCTTGTTTCCACGGGTGTTGCTTCTCTGCAGTGCACCGGTGCTGGGTGAGAAGCGCACTCAACGGGGCTCAAGCAGGCTACACATCAGCCATGAAAACGGGCACCACTCAGAAATTTCCATAGCAACTTGCGCGGACACTGTGACGTGGCGGCGTGGCATAGGTTGATTGATAGCGTCTGCGCAAGTTGCTATGAAAACTTCTGTGCGATGCCCATTTTCATCGCTCATGTGACTTAATAGTCCACATTAGATAACTTCAGTGCCTGATGAACAAACTTAATTTGGTTTTGAGTTGTCACTAAACAGTCCACTATAAACAACATTTTTGAGATAGAAATAAACTTATGTCTTACATTTCACAAATTCTTCATGTGTGGCACACCTGCTTATGATTAGATTGGCCTATGTCGAGGAAATCATCAAATATCTGCTTTGTATGTGTAGCCATTCATATGGCAAACCATGATTTTATCTTGCATCATATTTGGATAAATTTCTGATAATTGAAACCAAGTTTGTGGCTTCCTGGAGTTTGAATTAATGCGAGTCTACAGTAATCGATCCCACTCATTGGGCACGCACGGTTTGGTCTGTTTAGCTTTGTGAAACAACCAACATCACTATAAAACAAAAAGTTTTATTGCTTGACTCTTCTGATTGTCGAGGGGTTTACAGACCTAGAAGAGCCTTCGGGTACCCCAAAAGGATCCGCATATCCCCATTTGGGAGCCACTGGGCTTGTATGTGCAAAGAAATATGGAAAGCTGCTCTCGTTAATGAGAACTTATTGCATAGGTTGAAATTAAGTTTTACCGCGAGGCATATTATGAAAAAATTCTTCATGATTGTTCTTGTACCTCCACTAACAACATTATTCTCCCGTAATGGTACTCCTAAGAAATAAATAAAAAAGCCAAATAGTAGCTGCCTTTTCCTAGGTTGTGGCGCGGGATGGGTGTACACTTTGTTGTTTCTCTGGCGGAGTTCACTGGAGTCTGGCGACCTCTCCTCTGCAGCTGTGGTTTGCGGCCGTGAGCGGCTGGTCCGGGCAGACTCTCTTCGAGAGGTGGTCCATCGGCATGTACAACGTGGTGAGTACTTGGGCGTCAACGCCTAACGTGCGTCTGTGTCTGTGGAATTTGGTTTCGGTCCTTTCATAGACTCCTCTGGCAGTTTTTAAGCTCTTAGCGTTTCGGGTGTTGTTGTGAATGCGAGGTCGTTTCTTCCTACATTTGTTTTTCGTCCCTGAAGAGTGGAACCAAATTGTAGGGACGGGCCAGAGCTTTTCTGCTCAATATGTTTGCAGCAAAGCATCATTGCTCTTTGGCCACGTGATGAGGTGTTACCGCTTTTTTGTCTAATCGGTGCCATTGCGTCGACCTCTGCTCTTCGAACGCGATGTGGAACCTGAGGGATTGACACCCTTTCTCTTTTGGGGTCTCGAAGCTCTTAGCTCTGAATCCCGAGGTGCACTCGCTTCGGCTGTGTCCTGCATTTCTGCCCTTTGCTTTCAATCTGGATTGTTAGTCTCGCAGACTCGGGTTTTATTCGTCGTGTTAAGCGACTCCAAGCCTGATAGACATCACTTTTCGTCGTTCTTTTGAGTGAACCTACCAACTGGGGTTCTTGTTTATGCGTGCAAATGTGATAAAAAAAGTTGTTTTTTGTCTTGTATATACAAAGAAGCACGGTAGACTTTCGGTAATACAGTAGATTGCTGAGCAAGTTAGTAAATCAACAAAATGAAAAAAAAGAAAAAGAAAGCTAAATTTTAGGTACGTTGCAAGACCCGTTGCCGTTCTACCTTTCTGGACGTGGTGCAAGTTGTAGGGCACTGCAAAGCGGAGTTGGGAACGCGGGAACGAAGTTGGTCGAGGTGAAGAAAATAAATGCACACGACACATAAGTTATGAACAAAAGGCCAAAGTTCATCATCGATGAATAGCCTCTGTAAGTGTGCGCGACTCTAGTCATTGCCCATTTGTGTCGCATGCTCGCATGACTCGCGCGTATTTCGCCTTGCCGGGTAGCAGTTTATCGAAAGAGATAACTTCCCGCTACGTGATAATGCGGTCTCGTGGTCGGTTCTGTTTCTTAGCGACGAGACTAGACAGGGTGCGTGTATTTGGGACAGTTTTTGCGACATTCGAATCGTTCAATAAACATCAGTTGCCAGTTAGCACCTGTCCTGCCTGCGTTTCTCCGACCTTGTCTTGTCCTTTTTGCACTTTTTTCCGTTGCTTAGATGTTTGATTTTTCTGGTTGCACAAAGCCCTTGTACCCAGTTGTCAACGCCGTTCCCGTGCCCCGTTGCAGATGTTCACCGCGGCTCCTCCACTTGCCATCGGCCTGTTCGACCGGACATGCAGCGCGGAGGTGATGATGAAGTACCCTGCACTGTACAAGTCCTCTCAGAACGCAGAAGGATTCAACGCCAAGGTCTGTCCTGCGCCTCCCTTTGGCATCTCCCGTTTTACGCCGACCCTCGCGACGCCACCTAGGGTTCAAATTTGGTCAGCGCGAGATCAAAATTGCTTCTCGCTGAGCGAGATAAAATAACTTGGTCTGTGTCGCAGTGTCGCGTGACATTGTGTCTAGAGGCACTAAATAATCTGCGCTTAGAGTATCGGCACTCCGTTCTTCGACATTGTTGTGGGCGCCGCCATATTGGGGCTTGTGCAGAGCAGACGCAACTGCCGATCGTCGTGAATCAAAAGTGCAACTTCCTCAGCATTAGATACAGTGTTAGGAAGCTCATGTAATATTGCTTTGCTCTGTCGCAAACTGTTTAAGCATTTGTGGAGGACGGAGAAGCGTTTCCTGTGATTTCAGATAATGCTTCAGATAATTGGCAACCATGATTTTAAGACACAATATGTCCAAGTGTCCTTACTCTGAAGCGTTTCTTATTTCGTGGCACTAGTTGCGACATCTTCAAGGCTGGATCCCGGCAAAGATGCTCGAGTCTTTGTGTCTTGCGGGAAAAAAAAAATAGTGGGACATTGTAGTATTATTTTTCTAGCGATAGGTTGACTAGCACTGTTGGTGTGTCCCCAATAGAAACTAGTACTGCGATTTGCTTTGCAATTTTCCTCGGGGCTGAAACTTTGTGCGGTGCCGTTTGTCATTGCTAGTGGTCTATGCCAATAATTTAATTCATACTTAGGCACGGGTTCGAAAGTCGACCCTCCTGGGTAGTTCCATCTATCGATAAACCAGCGTCTAGGACTCGCCAGGGTCTCGGTCCCGTCCGAGCAGTGAAACAAGCGCCGGGCCTCGCAACACGCTGTATTCTCCGTGCAGGTTTTCTGGGTGTGGATCTTTGACGCCATCTACCATTCCATCATCCTGTTCTGGTTGACCATGCTTGGCATCAAGCAGGGCAAGTCACTTTCCATGTTTTTCGGAAAAACCAAGCCGGCGCCGTTCGCTCCTGTGGTAAACGACTTAACGCGAAAATGCCGTGGTGGCTGCTTTGGGGAGAGTTTTTGTAGTGTGTCGCATTCTTTTAATCGAAAGTGAATGTAAACAAACGGTTGGAAGTGAGTTTTCCGTTGTGTTCCCAGGCCTTACGACACTAGTACACTAGGACATCCTTTTGTTGTCTGTTTACTAAGTTGTGGAAAGCAGTAATTTCGAAAGGGGAGGGGAGGGGGAAGGGCGTGTTCTAAAAGTTAATTAGGCCAAGCAAATGATTTTTTTCTTTCTAACCATACAAACATATCTTCTTTATGCAATAATTATTTGGTTACAAATGAAATGATTTCGTCACAAAATTTTTTCCTGAGGTGATCACAGGCGTCGTAGGTACGGCTGGTGCAGCGACATGTTGCACTAGTACTCGAGCGTGTCTGCGCCTGTAAATGTTTTCTAACAGTTGCGGTAGCTCGCAGTCACGCGCGTAGGCATCGTAGGTACGGCTGGTGCAGCGACATGTTGCACTAGTACTCGAGCGTGTCTGCGCCTGTAAATGTTTTCTAACAGTTGCGGTAGCTCGCAGTCACGCGCGTGCATTCCGAGCAAAGTGTGGTTTGCACATGGGAGCGTGGCTCAGGCTCCTCCTGTCTGCAGATGTGGCCTGGCCAAATGGAAGAGACGGGGGGTACCTCATGTTTGGAAATCTGGTCTATACGGTGAGTGTCTCTGAGCCCCTCCTGCAATATTTTACGCTGCCTGGGTCCTCTGCGGCTTGCTTCTTTTTTTAGGGTCTATTTCTTCTGACAACGTTTTTTTTATCTGGTAGTTAACAGGGGTGGTTCGTTAATAAGAATGGAGAGGAAAGAAGCCGAGCTTATTTACAGCATTAAATTTATATCTGTGTCGTCCACCAGAAGCAAATACATATTGGTTCTAGATCCAGTTTGAGGCAAGAGGAAACATGCAAAGTCCAAGTAGGACAAGATACGAATGGGGTGAAGGAGTTGTCGAGTCTTGAAGTCTCGGTTCTTCTAGGCTACCTGGAGTGGACGCGGAGTTTCAGATCTTTACTTTTTTAACTTCGGATTCCTAAAAAAAGTAACTTTTTTTGGTTAGCGGAATGCGTGCAGTTTGTTTAGTTAGCGGGGTGTGCACATATTTTTTGTTGTTTCCGAAGTGGTAATGCTGACGGTGCGTTGCATTGTCAGTCTCTGGACGTGGTGTGACACCTTTGAACGAACTGTATACAGTAGACTCTCGATGATACAAATCTGGAGGGATCGCGGAAAATATTAGTATCACCCGAAATTCGTATGAACAAAAAAAAACAAGTCGCATAAGTACATGAAAGCAAGAGGTGGGGTGGGGGGGGGGGGGGGGGGGGGGGCGAGCTACTTGCAATTTATTGGTCACGCTCCCTGTCAAAGAAATCAGTACAGTGCAGTCCACTTATAACGATATTGAGAAAACCGCAAAATCCAATCGTTATAGCCGATTATCGTTATATCTGGATCAAATCAAATCTAAAAAAATAGCGATCAAATCTAAAAAATTTGATCGCTATAAGCGATATATCGTTATATCTGGTATCGTTATAAGTGGATTACACTGTAATGTTTTTCTGAGTCTTCTTTTTTTGATGTAACCCAGGAGACACTTTTGCAACATGTAAAAACGTGCGCAAGTCTCATCACTAACGTTGATAGAGCTCACTACGCGCCGCAGCACGTTGAAAGATATCCTTCCGAAAGTTGGTTGAAGAAAATCGCTCCGAGTTCAACGTCTGTGCACGTGCGTGTGCAAACAAAGGATGCTTGCTCGTTGACGATCACATGATCAACCCCGAATCTGAATGTCATTTCTCGTGCTCACTCGAGTGATTGAGGGTTACTAAAACCCGTTTACCGCGTGACAATAAAAATAAAGCAGCAACCCTGGAGTAGGTGAATGCGAGTTGCTCCAGTGAGTCGAATTCGAATCATGTGGCAACACAGATACTGCGGCAACACTGGACGGGGGTACGTTTTCGAATTTCGGAACGCAGCCACGATTATTGCGATTGCACTGCACATAGTATGTAGAAAGAATGGCGAAAAAAATGACACAAAAATGCCTGCTACAGTTGTTGGAGCCAGGTGATGCCGCCCTAAAGGATCTTTAAACGTCATCAGTCATCGTTTGTATGATCCTCCGCTGCCTGAGAAAGCATGCAGACTATACCGAAAGGCAATACATCATTCTTAAAAAACTTTGGCGGGGGATTTTGAAAAATTCGGGTCATCCCAAAATTCGGATGAACTGTGATCATATCACCGAGATTCTACTGTAAGTAGCTTTTCCCACGTGTCTGCACATTCAGTGGAATATTTTTTTGAGACTAGAAACCTTTTTGGAGAATGCAATACAGCCATAATTGAGGCTTCTTCACTGGCGGAATGTTTAACGTTGGTTATTATTTTTTCTACAATCCTACCAAAGAATACCGTGCATCCGCCCATACCTTAGTAAGTGCCCATTCCCGAATTCGTAACATCTGAGAAAATATACACAGTACATTGATATGTAAAATTGATGACCGGAAAAGCGCCCATCCCCCATTTTTTCGCGATTATCTCTTAAATTTTGAGTGCACTTGCCCGGTATTTTACGGTAGTTCGGATTTGTAGCCTTCTAGAGTTACTACTAAAATCTTGCAGGAAGACCGTACTATGCGCTTGCATCAAAATGGGAGTTTCTACTTATTGTTTTATAGCGTCATTGTTCGATGAAAGGGTCGTTCTGTTCTCTGTCTTTGAATGTAGTATGTTGTGGTGACGGTGTGCCTCAAGGCTGGCCTGGAGATGAACTCCTGGACCTGGGTGAGTGGCAGCTTTGTCCCATGCACAGTTGCAAGTGTATCGAGTGTCTGTGCCTTCGTTGCACGGGATAAAACTTGTAGGTATACAGATCGCGTAACTTACCTCAACCCTGCCTTTTGGGATGGTACACATCTATTCAAATATAAACATTTACAAAGTATAAGAGCTGAAAATAAGCTACAAGTTTCACCGAATGAGTGTAGACTTGTTTCATTAAAGATGTTTGTCGCTGGTGCACATGCTGCTGTGCCAACTCTCTACTAAATCAGTATTTGCTTTGAAGCTTTTAATTTGTTCATATAGTAGCTATGAATAAACTACCGTTAACGAATCGATTTTCACGGGCTCAGTTTTTTGCGAATGTTGCGGAGCCTGGATTTCGGAATTGTATCACGGTCACAAAATTTGGAGATTTGGAGTGATGTGCCACATATCCGTTACTCTGGGGCAACACATTCGCAAGATAAATTTTGTTCCAGTATTTCTTATGCCGCAAGATTTGCAAAAATGAGGTCCTTGGAACAATTAAGTCGTTTACGGCATCTAAGCATTCTTGCGTATGCTACTTGTCCTGGGATCTGCGGGTGTTTGTGAGCTCTGCTTGTGCGCAGCCTGCCCACCTGGCCATCTGGGGCAGCATAGGCATGTGGATTGTGTTCTTGCTCATCTACTGCAACGTCTGGCCCGTGCTGCCTGTAGCTGCCGACATGGCCGGACTGGTGAGTTTTCTACCGCCCCATCACCCCCATCACTTGAGGCTGCATACTCATTGGTGGAGGGCCTCTCTCTCGACAATACGAAGTGCGGCATTCTGCGGCCATGAGGAGGGGAGCGGTTACAAAAAGGTCTGATAAGAAACTTGGCAAAATAATTGCAATTACAATGCATACAAGGAACACGTTTATACAGTTGCTAAAATCATTTGTACAGAATTCTTGGAATTTGGATTAAAGTTGAAGGTGACCTTGATCGATACTAGTAGTTTAGGGTGTCTGAAAAGAGGGAAGCTTGTAGAGTTTAGGGAATTTGGGCCAAATATTGCGAGGTTCGGGGAAATGTTGGTGGAACGTGGAGAATAAAGCCAGATCTGGAGACATCTCGAGAAATTTGAATTGGTTAGTTTTCCCTGACTACCGTAAAATACCAGGTGAGCGCACAGCCCACTTTCGCTGAAGACTGGGTTAATCCAGACAGGGGTGCTTGTCCGGTCGGTCGAATCGGGCACTTAACGTATAATTTGCAGAATTCCCAAGTTTGGGAAACGTTAATAGTGGGCGCTTAGACGAAGTGGGTGCTTCAGCGGTATTTTACGGTATAGGGACTCAGGAAATGAGTTCCACTTGGTGATTGTAGGATACAGTAATACATTTTTTATTTTGTTGGTTCTTAAAAGAAATGGGCTGAGCTTTGAAGGGAGTTAAACCAGGCTATGCATTAGGGACCTCCTCTCTCTCTTCATGTGATGAGTGCAAGGGAAGAAAGATTTTCAGCCTCGCCAGAGCCCTTCAATACTCAGCTGGTCACGAATCTTCGGCCAAAGTTTGGTTCAAGGTCAAAGACTGCCACTAGGAGTGCCAGTGTCCCTGAGGGGACATTTTCTCTTGGCCACCCCACTCTCGGTGAGCCGCCCCAAATTCACCGTCATTAGTGGTTCTCAAAAAACAATTTCCCGTACACCGACATTTCTCACGACTGTAATTGATCGCTGTATGCAAGCACTGGTCGTTCCTTATTGATCTAATAGCGGAACTTAAAAAGAAGCTTACTTTTTGTTTTCAAATGAAATGGTGCTTTTGCTAGCCAGGCAACAGAGGCTTATGGGTTCGCAGTGCTTCTATATGATGATGCGAGTCGCGACGCTGAAGTTTGACGGCGATAGCGGTTTTAGGATTTATTTTGAGGCAAGAAGAGGAGCGAAGAATTTAATTATTTAGGAGGTCCTCGCAGAAAAGAAAGTTTGGTCAGTTGACTGAGCGTACACAGCGTCCTTTAACGAGGAACGCCGTCAGCGTGATGACGCGTCCCCGCGATCTATTGATGGCTCGTGCAGAGTTGGATCGAAATTCCGATACCACTTCCTGTTTGTCAGACTCCCAGCAGTGCTGGCTAGATTGTCGACGGTAGCCCGTCGACAATAGCGTTACGGAGAAGTTTTGTGACCGGCGGCGTATTGAAGTGCTCTGGCCTCGCTGAGCAGCATTTGTGGGTCGTCCTTAAAGGGTTGCTGAACCGAAATCTGGATTCCACAAAACACACGGCAAAAGCGTGCAACGGGATGCTACAAACTCCAAAACATCACTCATACAGCAATATCTCGAACGGATGACTATAGTTTAAAAAAAAAAAAAAGGGAGGCGCATTTGACAGAAATGTTTACGTCATGTTTCTCCGAGAAGGAGAGGGAACGGCCTCGCGTCTTCTCCGCCTTGCCGCCTTGAGGGAGCGAAGCGAAGCGAAGAGAGAAACAGAGATATCTTGACGTCACGCGCCTCGTCAGCCTGGTTCAATCTCGACCTCTTTTTCCAGAAATATGGCTGTTCATTCGAGATATCGCCTTACGAGTAGTGTTGTAGGGATTGTAGCGTCCCGCCTACATCTCCTGCATTGTTTTTTTTAAATCCAAATTTCGGTTCACCATCCTTTAGGGGGACACACCCCCTGGGAGGGTCATCTTTTGAACCCTTGGCTTAAAATTAATGAAATTTACAGGGTAGGCTAGTGGTCATGCTAGAGGGTGCATAACAAAATTTCGGGTCTGTCGGTTAAATGGGAAGGAATTTAGAGCAGCTTCTATCAGCAACACGCCTACATTGTCTAGTTAATCTATCGTCAGAAAACTATCACCACATTCAAGATTTTTATTCGCTAGATATGTAGCAGAATGCCTAGGGGGTGCGGCTATAAAAAGTGTTTTGTAAAAAGTCATTTATTTTTATAAAATTTCTCTTCTGCAAAATTGGTCAACTTTTTGGTCTTCTGTGTCTTCGAGAAAATGTCAACATTTTTTATAAAAGACATCTGTGAATTGACAAAACGATTCTATAGCCACATTCCTTATTAAACTTCAGTCAGGAAAAGTGAAGAACGAATCGTCCCTGTATTGCCATTATCAAACGATAGATTGACTCAAATGGAATTAATACCAAAAAGCGGAACGGAGAAAAATGTGTACAACATGGTCCAAACCCTACCTTTTCCTTAGCTTTTGTGGACATAAAATAATTTATAAAAAAAATTTACTATGCAGTGTGAACTAATTAAACTTTCTGGGAATACTCTCTAGATGTTGGTGGATGTAAATATGTCATTTTTCAAAGTCAACTTGTTTTGCAGAAATTTTTTTTCTGAATAGTGTCCCCCCCCCTTAAAGAGAATAAACTGTTTTCAGTATTATTGTGCCTCTCGTTACTGGTGATGATGAAGGCAGTTGTGTTTTTCTCTCCTCATTGTGCAGCATATAATGATCTTCTCCTCTGGAATTTTCTGGATGGGGCTGATCATAATCCCTTTCATGGCACTTCTGGCTGACATCATCGTTATTGTGTAAGTTGATCTGGCCCTAACCCTAACTCCTCGACGATTCGTCTTTCTCTTAATTTTGTTCATTTGGGCACGGGCTTGCATCGGTCGTAGCTTGCGTAGATAGGGTATATCCAAAGTTGCTTCACAAGTTGCATTTCGAATTGCGTCGAAGCACGCAGCAGGATATTCTGTCGAATGTCGCACGACCGGACACACTGCAACATCCTTGACGCAATCAGTTTTTGTCAGATGATGGGCGATATGGCACGTGACATTACTAACTTGTCGTTGATTTCATGATGGGTTAACCTGTGTTTTGCTGAAAAATCTTTGTTTCGTTAAAGCTCGTCAATATCTCCTAAAGAATTTCACGGCTGTTGAATATAGACAGATGTCATTTCAACACTCAGCCAAACGTTGCACAAAAAGGTGTAGGAGGGACTTCATACTCGTCAATCAGTGAAATATTGATTTAGCAAAACTCCACGCGGGAGCCGACAGCACCAGTTTCGGAGATTTCCAACTTGTCTGGACGTTCCTCGACTTGCAGGATTAAGAGGTCGTGCTTCAAGTCGCTGACGGAGGCGGTGCGGGAGAGCGAGATAGCTCACGCAGATCCGGGGCCAGTCATCCTTCGCGGAACAAAGCAGAAGTAAGTGGTCAGAATGCTCGAGCTTGCTCTCGAAGTCGCAACTCACCATTGTGCCCCGTTCCCTGGAAACGTTGCCTGTCTTGCGTCACTTGTTTTAGATATTTCGTCAGCCATTTTTTGGGGAGATGATGTGGGGCTATGCTGAAGCCTGGGAAAGCGTTCATACGATCCATCCCTTAATTGATTTGGGCAAACCTAGCTCGCCAAGGTGGAGCCATTTCAAAAACCGTTCAGGACAAGTATAGCTCGTCTGCTTTTTCCGGTTCGTGCACTGAACCGTTTTGGATGAACCAGGCTTGCTCGTGGCTTAGTTTGAGGCTGTGCCAACGAATGGTGGAACTGAATTTTCTTATATTTTGCTCCTGTTTTGTTTGTGGCTAGAAATTTGATATTGAAGGCAACAAATATAATTTTTTTAAGAAATTCAGAAATTCCCTAATTCTAAAAACGCTTAAGGGGTTAATTAAAGTTAGTAAGCAACGAGTTGATTTGTTCTAGGCTTATAAAGCTGCACTCACACCGCTGTTGTAAGAATTCACACTGCAGTTGGGAAGGTTTACACGGCCATTGTGACAGTTCATACCACAATTGTGACTGTTTATACTGTTTGTAGTTGGAACTGTTCTCACTGTGCTTGTAGCAGCTCACACTGCTTTTTAAACAGTTGTTAACATTGTACGGGTTGTAATGCTTCATGCGACAGTTGTGACCAGTCACACTGGTTGTAAGAGTTCATACTGCTGTTGTAATGGTTCATACTGTGGTTGTAACAGTTCACACTGTGGTTGTAACGGTTCACCCTGCGCTTGTAACAGTTCAGATGACAGTCGCAACGGTTCACACTGCAGTTCTGTATTTCCCATAACAAGCGCATACATAGCAGCCATTTCCCGTAACAAGCACATATATAGAACCGCAGTTACATTGGATAACGCACATGCATGGATTTGTAGCCCTTGTTTTTATCGGTGCTAATCGCACAGTCTAGCGTCTTTTTTCTTTCTTGGAGGACATTTAATGGTGCACATTGAATATGGCAGAACCTGTCACAAATTAGTTTTAAAGACCAGTTATATATGCGGAACTTTGCCCATCGTTTTGTTTGCAGCCTAGCACGACCTTCACGAGGCAACTTAGGCTGAAGCATGCGCAAGTAATGCCCGGAGGCTTAGCATGGCTGGGAGACATTCGGGCCCAACGTTTGCATGACTTGCACGAAATCTTTGCCGACTTGCTTTTCTTCGATGTAAATGGCCCTGCGAGAGATTTCGGAGCACGTGACAGGCTGATCGAGGCTCTGCCACCACATTTTCTTTGTTTTACTTTGATTATTTTATATTTTTTCTGACTCGGCAGTTTTAAATAGAGGTGCCAGGATGCACACACTGTGATAGTAGATATAATTAAAAAAATTTGATAGTTTCGACGTACACTGTCTTCTTTTCTTTTGCTTGTCTTGTGCCCCTTTGCTTGTTGAAACTAACGCCTAGTCAGCTCCAATGTCTGTTTGTGTTTGTGCCCGTCTGTCAGTTTTGTTTAAGGACAAAAGTTTAACTCTAATATTCCTCCTTTGCCATGGTGTTATGCTGCACTTTGCCGAGTGTTTGGGAGGCCATGTTGGCCCTTGTGAACTTTACATTTTTAGGGCAATTTTTATACTCTATACATAAAGTTTCTTTGTAATGCTTTTTTTATGTAACCAGCCTCATTTTCTCTAGTTATTCGGTGCACTATTTTTTTTTTCTTTCAAACTAACATCTTGTTAAATTCAAAATTGGCTTGTTTGTTTGTTTGTCTGTCTGTCTGTTCTGTTTGTGCTCAACAGTTGTTACTCTCATATGTTTTTGTTAGCATGGGGTTGCACTTTGCAGAGTGTAAAGGACACAGATTTGTTAACCAGCATAATGGCCTTTACATTTTTTTTTTTTTTTTTGAGCATTTATGCTTTACTAGTCATAATGCATCGTGAGGAAGCAAAACCTGCTATGAAGTTGGCTGCTTTTTACCGGCATATGGTACACAATGTTTATTTTTCTGTTCTTTCTCTGTGGAAATTAATTTGATACAAGTTTTGGGAATTTTTTTACAATAAATTTTATGAACACTTTTAGTGTGGCTTATTTACACTTATACGCTTTGTGCTTGTAACACCTGCACTGTTGTGGTTTGTTGCATGTGCTCTTGACTTGAACTTTGTTAGTATTGACATTTTTGTGGGGAAATTCTCACACAAATCTCGGCAACAAAATCTGAATGTTGCATACTTTTTTAGAAGTTTTGACTAGCAAGCCCTAAAACGGGGCTATGCTTGCCATTAAGGTTTCCGGGACAAAGGGACACGGCTTTAATTCATCTGTTGTTTGCGGAATTACACAGCATATAAAAGGCATTTTGCTGCTGATGTTGCATGAGGCTTTATAATGCTGCAGTATTCGAAGTACGCGTGCAATGAAGGTGTTTTTAACATACTCTCATGACTGGTCTGCAGTTCTGTTTATGCGGCAGCAGGAACTTTGCAAGCATTGAGAAAGCAAGCAGAAAGCTTTGGAACGTGATTCTGATTTAATATTGGACCGTTTTTAATTACCTTGGCCATGTGTTTTTAGTGGGCTATCGAGCCATTCGGAATTCTGCAGATAAATGCCAATTCTTGTTTGAATCTTTCGTATTCTTTTTATAGTTAGAAGCAGATATACAGTCGCCGACCGTTTTTTCGGACTCCAATCAATCAAACTTGTTCGATATTTCGGACCTAAAGGCGGATCCGTGACTTACCCCATAGAAATAGTGTATATTCACGACCAATGTTTCGGACAGCTTGAAGTCCGAAAGATCAATCATTCGGACAAAATCGTCGCGAGCGATCAGCGGAAAACACCATCGAGAAGCGGCCATTTTGAATTCTATGTTGGCTGCCAATGGATTGGCTTGGTTTGGCAGCACTACTTGAGCACTCCTGAGTCATACCGCTAGGTGATGCTATGCTAGCCCTTTTTTTCCCATTTAGCTGCACGTCATCATCATCATCATCATTATTATCATTTTGCTTTGTTTTTCGTTCCTTCGAGTCGCCAGTCGCCATTTTGCTCTCGTGGATTTGCTGAGCTTGTATGTTGCATTGCATGAAACGAGAATATGATGGGAGATGTAAGTTTATGTTAGGTAAAAAAAAGCAGAGGCCATACTTGTTTTTATTTTTGCATGTATTTGATGATTTGTTGCAGATGCGGCTTGTCTGGGCATGTATTCTGTCATCTTAAAAGCTTTAGGGTTGAACGAATTCATGCATATGAACAATGAAATGAAGAAATGTTTTGAATTAATGCCGAGCAAATTTAACTGGACTCCTTAGTTTGACCGTGAGCAGACTGTCCTCAACAAATGACCCTTTGAATGAAACCGTGCAGTTCCAAATGAGTGGCTGCTAAGGCAAGAGCAGTTGGTGCCACTCGTATGCAGGCATTACGGTATGTCATATAATTTTTTCCGCAGAATGGAGGGAGGAATATTTCTTAACTTGGTTAGCATTAAAGTATCATCTCTACTCTGATTGGCCTGAGCAATCATCGCGGCATTAACGGTGACAGAACAAAAATGTCAGTGCCACAAAGCGTCTTCCGAGCTCATCAAATGCTACTTAAACCGCTTTCGTCTGCTTCAGAGCCACACTCGGCGTCGACCTTGCACCACATCGTCGAGGCTAGCTTAGTCTTCTGCAGTGCCATTGAAGCCATTCGTGCGAGCGCACGCTAATGAGACGCAAGCCGCACGCCTTTGCGCCGCTAAGCGTGGGGCAGCCGCGCTGCGGAAATTAAGCCAGCCTCGATGCTGTAACGCAAAAAAAACCGTCGCCGAGCGTAGTTTACGGTTGGCAAATCACCATTTTGTTCGCTCGCATTCCATGTACTGAGCTGCACGACGTCCCGGTGTTGATCGGCGTCGCACTCGTGGGCAAGCAACGACAGACGCTTCATGCTCGGAGCCGCTCACGGAGGCAGGTCGAGCCAAGCCAATCCAACCTTAAGCTCGCGTGGCGAGGAGTTGCGGCGCAGGGACGACGGTGACACTCGCGTCTTAAGCTCACAGTGACACTTTTGGCCAGAACTCTCAGCAAGGACTGTCGGGATTGCAACGGCGCGATGCTATGCGACGGATATCGCGGCATCATTTGTTGCCGCTCAGGGACCGCTTTTGACGTACGGGCAGGGTCGCCAAGCGCGCCGGTCGAAGACGCGGGCACCGTAATGTGACTGTTTGTGCCTCCTCCTCACTGGCTGCTCTCTCCCCACGACCTCCCCAGGCTGTTCACCATTTTTGCCAACCGTGCAAACGTCTCCGAAAAGGTGGAGACGAGACTCTGAGCGCGCTTGGCTTGCCGCCCGAGATGCCGTTGCGCTCCCCTCCGCATGCCCACCAACCCCCGCTTCGGAGGCCGTTGCATCCCACGCGAGGATGCCGTGGCGTGGCACCCTTCTCTTTCTTATTAGCATTTCGTTACATTCTTTTTTTTTTTGTGATTTTCTGGTCATGCCGGATACTCATGTTGCCTGTGCTCATGCAATAGGAACGTCAGTATTGTCTAAAAAAATGCTCCTTTTTTTACATTCCTTACACGGTGCTTGATGTCTAAGATCGACGCCAGCGGAAGATGAGCATCGTAACTTTTTGAAAGAAATGTCTATGCATTTCTTTTTTTTTTGGAGGGGAGCAGTCTTTTGGTTTTTGCACCCTGCATTGTGTTTCGGTTTGAGTTCTTGACATGGATGTGATACGTCGAAAGTCGTGCTGAAAATGGCAACTTTTTTGGTTCTATTTTTGAGAGACTGGCGACGAACAACAGAAGTATGCGAAGAGCTTCGTAGCTGCTGTGTGATCTTTCCACACACTTTTTACGAGTATGTTACGGCGGTCTTCAAACCAGCAAAGTTAGACGAGCCATTTTTTGTGTTGATAGCTCTGTGTTATACAACATGATAAAACAGTATTTACATCTTGCAGCAAAACAGAGCGTGCCTGTTTCTTTTTTTATAAGCCTATGTTTGGTATGAGCAGTTGAAAATTTAGCTTGCTTTGGCCACTGGTCATTTTACAAGAAGTGCTCACAGCCACATTTATGATTGATCTCAGTCGTAGCACCCGACCCCACTGAGTGTTCAAATAAAAAAGATGACGAGGTCCATCGTTTAATGAGGTATTGGTTGTACATCAGTTAGCTTTAGCTTATAAAGTGCACGGTGCTAGGATTGTACGGTAACAGTCACACTTAACTAGAAGATGGCAGTTCATTTGAATGCGGAAAAATGCTAGAGCACAATAGCATTCGTCCATACTTATGCAAACCGAAGACGTAGCGTAGATGGTAGGTGTAATGGGACAAATGAAGATAAACAACTTGGCAGTACTGCAAAAGCATTCACGAGCACAAAGTAGCAACATGCCAACGGTGGTTTTTGCGCTTACTCCAGTTAACTATAATTGGAACTGTACATGTGTTGCACTGGTGGCCGGGCACTTTGAACCATACCAGCACCGGTGGTGTGGAATATTGCAGCTGGTTATTTCGCCGTGTGCCTCCTGGTGTTATGGTGACTAACTCCATGTGAACTGTTAAAGGTTGTCTGTGGAGAGACGTGATTTGCCTTTTGCAGGTGCTCTGCCAACTGTGTTTACCCCGATCGGGTGGTTAGAGTCGGCAGGCTTTCGCATGCTTTTGCAAGCAACTGTTGTTCATTTTGTAGACTTCCGCATACTAGTTCTAATGTTTGTGTGCACATGCCTCAAGTTTAGACGATTTTGCTCTTTGTGCATATGTGCGGTTAGCTTTCGAATTCGTTGCTTCGATGAATGCTTCAAAGTATCTTGACAATGCAGCCTGTTAATCCGGTCATAACGACGGTGACTGAGGTGGCACACTCCGTTTGCTTTTGCAAAGAAACGTTGTCTTGTTTGATTTGAAATTAACGTTAAATTTGGGAGGTATTCAAGATTCGCTTGTAAACTACTGCAACATTTCACAGCACTGCACAGTCATGCTTTCTCACATTGCACTGCTCTTTTGCTGGCTAGCGAGCTCAGCCAAATGTGGTGCAATGGTTCGTTTCTTCGTCTGCGCACTGGTGTAGTGCTGGAATGTGAGTGCGACAGAAGGGCACAATGCTTTCCTGTAGTTAGCTAGTCTATTGCATGGAAAGAAGTTTGGCAGGATGTGTTTGGGAAATGAGAGATGATAGCTACACATCATGGGAACATCTACTGCAGGGAAGCGAGCCCAAGAAACGTAACAGGATCATTATGCTTTCCACACTAGCGTTATGCTGGAAAGTGAGATTGGCAGACTGCAGGATGACTTGCTCGTAAATTCTATGGGTGTGTCGGCAAATTGCGAGGAATTTAAGGACTTTCTTTTTGAGAATTGCTGCTCTCAGTTTATCGGCAGCTGACGCACGTGCCATCTTATTTAACTTTGTTATGACCTGACCTGACAGTATTGCCAGCTTCATTTTTTTTTTATGCACCTCGAAGGTTACAAGAATAAAGGTCATGCACAGCCTGCTTGCAAGTTATTATAACTACCTATACCAAAGAAGAATGGCAGGGCAATTTAGAGAGGCTTTTTGAAATTCATTCTGTGTAAGGCACATTTTTTGTTTCGTTTTTTTTTTTTTGCAACAGCCTGTGTTCAGCATTCCTGGAATGTGCATGATGCATGTTTTTCTCTGTGCTTGTGTGTATGTATATGTGATGGCCGCACGCATTGCATAGGCTGATGTCTGGTTGGTACTTTTTTTATTGGTAATGTTTTTTATACAAATAAACAATGATTGCATTAATTGACTCGCTTTTGTTGTCTGCTTTTTTGGTACGTAGTATAGTCAGCTTGGCAGTTTTGTTTTACAGCAGGTGTGCAAAGTGCTTCGAGAATTAGGGGGTTTAAGATGAGCGCATCTAAATCATGCGTTTCTTTATTGGCATTGTATGTGGATCCTATTTCTCACTTTAATTCCGGCTTTTTGATAGAATTTCTCAAAACTATTTGTACTAATCTGAATAGGAAAAATCACTCCCATTGCAGAAATTAAATTTTTAGGTTCCAAAGTTTTGATAAAAGAATACAGCAAGACATCGAGCAGAACCTGACAAAATTATTGTGTGCATCAAGTTCCGCTGTTAGGAAGAAGGTTTTTGTAGGTTGGCACTTTATATAATAACCTCCAGGGCCCACGGACCGATTTCACTATCTAGCAAGCAGTGTCACTACCATGGTCTAAATTGTTGTCAGAAGTGATAAAATTGATGAATGGATGTCTGAAATGAGATAAGCAAGTTTGGGAAGAATTAAAAGTTTCCAGAAACCCTATTTTGATCAGTAATTTCCTCCTATTCATTTCGGAATGAAGCCCTTTTTTGCTGCATTCAAGCTTGCACCTTTAATACATCACTATGTATTCCTACCTGTGCATGCGGCCTGAAAAACATTGTTCCAGATGACGAGGAGAAAGTTTTATGTGCATAATAGGGTGTTTTTGCTGACGTAATTTCGTCCACCATTTTGTTGTTGTGAGCTGTCTGGTGTGTGCCAAACTCGAGCATTCCAAGGATTTACATGCCCCCTCAAATGCGTAGAGCACAGAAGCTTATGTCTTACCACGCTGACATCACCTCAATCGGTTCCGATGTAATCTTTCAATGTTGTAAATTTGTTTGAAAACATAAACTAGCAACAAAATGGGGGATTGACGTCATGTGCAAACAACCTATAGGAATCGAGATTTTTGAAATGTAGCTACATTTCTATGGTGGTGCCTGCCTAGACTGGTCTTCCTAGAGGCACTTCGGAAGCTGTCGCAGGCAGCATGCATTTCGTTTTCTGGCGCACGTCTGGTATGTCTTGCTGGCTCACAAGCGAAATTACCGTGTGTTGCGCATTCTTATTTCTTGAGCGTCTATGATGGCTACCTTCTCCAACCACAGTATACTGCCGTTCGTTGATAGCTGTGTAAGACCCTCAATATTAAAAAAGGCACGCCAGTTCTTTTGGGCCTAAGCCGCAACTGTGTGCCGATCAAGCAGGATGCTACGAGGAAAAGTAAAGAAAATGGTCGGTTAAACACGGTGTCGCGTTTCAAAGACGCTGGCTCAAGAAAACACGTAAAACATGTATGGATGCAATATTTTATATGAACACAAAGAGGGGCCCTGACATATTGTGCCAGAACTCGAAGTGCTCAATGCCTGCACAGACAGCTGTTGGGAGACGCGGTCCGACGTGCGCTTTTAGCCGGTACGTCTGCCATGAGTGCGTTGCCTGCTTGCCATCCCCGTAGGCTGACCGAGACGGCGCGGCTTCTCAAGAACGTCTTCATGAAGCCAGTGACGACGGCTCATGTTCCCATTGAAGTGGAGCTCAAACGTGAGTTTGCGCCTTTTCTGTTTGCAGGTCACGACTCGATACTGTGCGAAATGCAGCACCGAGGAGCTCCTAAAATCGCTACAAAATATTAGCGTTTTATTTTAATGATGTCACATTTGAGAAACAGCTATAGACGAGTTGCTTTCTTGTTCCTCGTAATGCAGTGATGCGATGGCTGCACCTTTTCTGCCAAAGTGCTTACCCTGCTACATGTTACCAACATCTGTACAAAATGGCACCAAAAGTTAGTTTCACTTTTTCGGTACCGAAACTAATAATTTGGACCCCACTACACTGCCGGACCAATAGAATATGTTGTCGCAAATTTCCAATAGTCGCTTTGAATGACATACTGTTCAATTTGTTCTTTGTGTTGAACATTGTCAACATATTCGGAGCTCCATTGAGTGCTGCTTGCCAAGCATTGGTACGGAGAAGCAACACCTGCGAAGTGGACAGGGCAGTCCTGTGTACCTCACTTTGCTGCAGTGCAGCTACGTGCTAAAGGGAAAGTGGCTCCCCTTGAGCAGGATGCTGCTTGCGCATTATTTAAGAAAACTTGGTGAATGCTGGTGGGACCACTGTGTCTTGCAGTGAATGCTACAAAACAATACCACAGATCGTAACTGGAATATCCTTACAAGTTGCTCGCATTATTGATCACAATCATTTTCAGCTCAATATTTAAGGAAGGCATATTTATCGTCTACATGCTGACTTTGCATTCTCATAAAACTCTACACTTAAAATCCCATCGGTGTGCATATTGAGGAAACTCGCCTTGAAATTGTAGTTTTATTGGAATTGCCATAACTTTCAGCTATATTAAAAAGATATTCTATTTTAACTTTATTTTGGCCGAATACTATTCCGTTTAACCTTAATTTCATACCGAATGTAACCTACCATGTAATTTAAGCAATCATTACGTATCTCAAAAGTTGCCACCGTACGGGCTTTTCTAAGCAAAAATAGTGTCCTTAAAGCATTCTTGTTGCAGTTTTATGTATTTTTAAGCACAACTAAACAGCTAGTTAAGAGTTTGAGTTAATTGACTGTAGTGTTGTGCAAATATTGGAATTTTCGAATTGTAGTTTCAAATAATACGCTATCCGATATTGGCTTCGAGCTGAACTGCGATATTCTTTTTTTTTTTTTTTCGAAGTGTTGACCTCGGTGGGTTTGCCCCAGAGCTGGCCAAATTACTCATATTTTGTAATTAAATTACATTACTAATTACTTTGCTGAAAGTTGCTGAAATGTAATTAAATTACATTACAAATTACCACAGTCAGAAAGTAATTAATTACCATTACAAATTACTTTTAAAAGTAATGACATTACTTTCGCATTACTTTTGTATACTTTTAAATACGAAGGAGCTATTGATAACTTCCTTTTACAGATAACTTTATTTACATTATTTACACAGTTCATGGCACACAGCTAGAACTCTCTGTTGCATGTTTACCGATGGACAGAGGAACGCACGCGACTGATCCGTTTCCCACCCCAACCCGGACAACTATTTTTGGAGATGACTGAGGATTCTACGCGGATTATCTCTGGGAGGGGGGAGAACAATTGTCATTGTTCGCAAAATCGCGTCGAGGCCGTTCCACCAGGGGCCTTAGTTCGACCTACTTCCCCTCCTTCGTTTCCCGAGAATGTCAAGCAGAAAAGCTCGAATGGCAGGCACTTACCAGCCCTATTTCTCACAGTGGAAGATAACACAGAGAAGGTACGCAGCATGCATCAGAAAAAGTAAGCGGAAACTTTCAAGAGGGGCCAGAAAACGTCGAATGCAAAACCGCAAAACATAGGTAGAGAATCGCGCTGAGCGGGTTTTCACAGTTCAAGAGAGTGGCAGAAAATGACTAGCTAATAGCGGGTGCGAGAGTCGCACCAGCCGCATTAGCATCAGCAACATAGCGGCGGCCGAAAAGCGTTTTTTGGAAAGGTGTAGAGGAAAAAGAAAAAGTAAAATAAAAAGAAAAGCGCTCTTGTGTATTGTGGACACAAAAATATGGCTGGTGCGCAAAAGTAATTAGGTAATTTAATTACAATTACCGTCGCTGGAGTAATTCATTACATTACTAAATTACCTGCTACAAAAAGTAATGAATTACATTACTAATTACTGGAACAAGTAATTAAATTACTGTAATTTCATTACAGTAATTACACTACTGCCAGCTCTGGTTTGCCCCGTTGAATCCGCTTTTTTCTGAGTGCCGGTGAACTGCGAGAAAGCACCACCCGCGGAGCTCGCTTTCGCGGGTGTTGCTTTTCGCAATGCACCAGTGCTCGGCAAAGAAGCGCACTCAACGGGGCGAACCCGCCACGATCAACGCTTTAAGTACAAATATTGCAGCTGTGTGCTCAGGATGAAAGCACACTTTCAAATCGGAATGGTTCACGCGCGTGTCTGGTGTATTTAAAAAGAAGTGGGGACTTCGTGAATGTTGATATCTGCACCACAGTAAAAGTTTCAAAATTAAACCGGCCATTATGGAAGAGTATATGTTAGGCAGAACTATTTTGAATGCCTGCATTCATAATTCATTATTGTCTCTTTCTTTTCTCAAATCCTAGATGTAAAAAAAGGATATTTGCTAATAGCAAGAGAATTTATAAATCTATGATTAGGTATAACTGAGCATCTCAAGGTTTAATTTTATGTCAAATGTGTAATTTACTTGCTATCCCCATGTGGGCATTGGACTTTCTGAGGTCCATAAATATAGATATACTTGGCTCCAAAATGGGTCGGGCAAGCTCGTCGGTGGTAGTGCTTCACTGCAACTGTTTCTTGTGCAACGGCGGTATATCCGCACAGTATGTCCAAGTACCGTCCCGTTTCCGGGTTTATAAATGGGCATAGCCTAGAGTAAACTTTTGCCTGTCAACATTCTTAAAGAAACGCGTGCCAACTCTGTCAACTGCAACACGTTGCCTGACGTTCACGCGAGGATTGACGCAGCCACTGCGTAGAGAAGGTCATTGGGTCACCTCGTTTGATATCCTGCCTAGAACTTGAATGCTAACACGAACGCCCCATCCTGCGAGAGACGGTTGCCAGGCTTTAGGGTTGGGCAGAGGTACTCTAAAATGTATTTGTAAACACAAATATTGGGAGACATGACAAAGACAGCCAAAAAACTGGTACTAAAATACATCCATACAAAAGTATTGTGATACATATCAAAAATACATGTGAAAAATCGAAAAGTGTTTGGAAATACAAATAGAGGAATACAATTTGACGGGGCAGTAATACATTTTTTCTTTGGAGAGGTTTTTGTGATGTGAACTCTTGTATTACTGGCAAAAAGGTTGCTTTTTGTAAAAGAGGGACAACTTTTTGCTACATATTTTATTTTTTCATATGAAATCAATACAAAACAAAACTAACCATACGGCTTTGCTTTTACACTCGACTACATTTGATGAGAAGTGGCTTTTTAAATAGCTGGTCGGTCAGCTGCTGCCGATTTTGGCAAAGAGTCATGTTGGCAAATGAGATTAAGCGTTCTACAATTGGCAATCACGGGTTCATATTACATTGAACAAAGACCGTTTTCACAACAGAAAAGTTTTGAACCATGCAAATATCTTTTTTTCCGGTTTTCTATGTGTATGAAGACCTCACTTGGAGGTGGTAATAGTTAAGCTTTGTTGGCAGGGTTTGTACCTCTAAGGCGACAGAAGAGTCCTCCAGTGGAAACAAAAACTCGTACTAACCATGAGGTAAAGATTGAACTTGAACTTGGACGATCCCTAGTCTGAAATTATTTTCCGTATAATTGCCAATTTCCTCTTAATATAAAGCTGTGGGAACTAAGCGAGTGTTCCGTAGGTTTGAAATACTTTTTATCCAGAATGCAGTGCAGTTCTCCATTAGATATATTGCACACCTTCAAAGCAATATCACATGAACCTCTAATATTGTTTTATATCTACCGTACCCAAATATCTCTGAAAGGTCAACATCTTCTAGTCCCATGTCGCTAGTCACTTCAAGACGTCGCCTTTGAATGAAACTTTTTTTTATTATTATCTGAAGGAATAAGTTTTACGCACACCTTAGTAAATGGGGCTGAGTGCAATGCGCAGTTATAAAGCTCGTACCCGCAGTGCCTTTGACATATTAATAGAACAAATGTAGGTAGTTGCCCAACTGAAGCACCTTAAAAGACATATGTTATCTCTGAAAAATAAGGAAAGGAGTCAACAATGTCGGGGCCATAATGTTAGAAACAAAGCTTGGTCTGCTTGATAACAAAGTCTCGAGGTCCCATTTTCTGTACCTTCTACCTGTCTGAAGCACAAAAGAAGAAAAGCCTCTTGAGCTGTCGCTTGGGGTTCACAGATTTCTTGAACATTGAAACGAGAAACGTTGGCCAGGGATTGTATCGTGATACAAGGAATGCACCAAACATGTTCCGATGCTGAAATACAAATATTGATTGAAAAATTGTATTGCGATACAGAAATACAGATACGTAAATTATTTCTGAAATACTATCGCGATATATTTATATTGCAGTACTGCCCAACCCTGCCAGGCTCCTACCTCCGAGACATATCTGCCCCTTTCCCATTTCCACCCTCGATTTGTGGAAGGGGAAGAAATGAAGGTTTTCCGCATTGCGTAAGATTGATGTTGCGAAATGGCCGCTAAAGAAGCGAAGAGCTAGCCTCGATGGCCGAAACCTGCCCGAGACCTTAATCTGCATGCCTATCTCTTTAGAAATGTCCGTTTAACTCATTCATTTAGTCTACTAACACGTCAAATTGAAAGGACTGACATGTCTGCTGACGTTACTAATGTTCCTGCTTTCAGATGGTTATGCATTTTCCCAAGAAGAGCACGGCGTAGTGCCTCAGGTAAAACCCCGAGCGTTCTCCCTGCCGCTCTTCTCTGCATGCCGATTGACCGTCCTTTGTCGTAGTTGCTCACAACTTAGTGGCAAGGGCATCTGGTCATTGCTCCTTACCCAAAGACGTTGCGGCACTATGCACCAAGAAAAAATCACTGAGCAACAAGAGTGAGCGTAATGAGCCCTGCGTTTCTGTCGGCCGCTGCATTCGCCAACGACTTGGCCCTTTGTAGAATGCAAGGCCAGCAGGTGCCCTTCTCGGTTGCTGGGAACTTTCCTGCTGGCCAAGCTAGCTGTTCTGGTGCTATAAAGAAATGCTAGTCAGTCGGTCAAATGGAGCAAGACGTCCGAAGTCAGACGTTTGCATTACTTGAAATCCCCAAGCTTGGTAGCTGGAGTGTACCCATTCAGCCAACCTTTTTTATGTCGGGACAATTTTTGAGACGTCCAGGTTTGGGATGTTTCGGCGTAACGCCGAGTTAAACCTAAAACTTTCTCATCCACTTTTTTCAGCCCACTGACTGTGTTAGTCTCGCATGGTTGAAGTATATTTTCAAGGGTGTGTAACGAGTTAATAGGTCTTTCGTAATAAAATGAGTTGGCCAGTTGTTTTCCTAAGTGCCTTCGCTGAAATTCGCGCATCTTTGCTTTAGAGAAAGTAGGTTTGTTTTTGGTCTTCCTACGCGGGCTTGGTCGAGCATCTTGCAGTCCCCTGAGATATCACATCATCTCTCTTTGCCACTTAAAAAAAAAAAAAAGCTTTTCTTATAATGTTTTCATTTTGCTTTGAAGAAAAATTTAGTTTGACAATTTTGAAAATTTGGTATACAAAAGATGCGGTATATACAGTGCTACCCATTTACAACGATACCACATGTAACAATGTACCACTTATAACAATCAGTTTCTAGAGTTTCTAGACTGGAAAGGATCAGTTTCTAGCACAGTACAACAATAATCAGTTATAACGATTATAATTTCAGGTTTTCTCATTATCGTTATAAGCGGGTTGCACTTTATATATATATATATATATATATATATATATATTTATATATGGTGACTAAATATATTGAAAATACTTTTATGAGAAAGCTTTTGAAATATTTTGGGCATCCTTTTACTTCAGGCTTTTACGTGGGTGAATGAGCTTCTGAAATTATTTGCTGCAAGTTGGTGGGCTTGCAGTACGGGGGTTGTGAGTATGCGGCATAATTGAGTGGGCTAGCATCAAAGACAAAAGGTTGTGTCTAGAAACTCCTTGGTGTGTCACGTTTCAGGCATCTGTCTTTCCGTGTACCTAAGTTAACTCTAAATGTGAAACAGCGTGATGGTGCGACATACAAATTTTCTTCTTAAGCTCTAGTGTACGCATGCCGAGAGCTTTAATGATGGGCATATTTCGACTCAGGTTGATTACCATTAACATGCTCATTTCAATAACAGTATCATTTGCTTTAGGTTTGGCTTCAAACTTGCGGCCGAACCGCTTCGATGGTATCGGCACGTAAAACAACAATGAATTGCCAGATTCTTTTCGTGAAAGAATCAATTAAACTAGTTCTTCAGATATGAGGTAATTGTGAGCCCACATTCCAGCATCTTACACATGGGAGTGGGATACGAACAAGGAACTAAGACTTCTGTTTGTCCCCTTTATACCGCAATGTCAAGATTAAAATGTTGATGTATTGTTTCGACAACCATTTAGCAATGAAATACCACATCTTTTTGTGACTTTTCAGGCTGACCTTATCAGAGCTTACGACTCGACGAAGCAGAAACCACAAGGCATCTGAAGCGTCTGGGATGCCTTCCTGAAGCACATTCCAGGTCCCCGAATCTGCTACGCTTCGAATGCTATGCCACCCTTAAGGCCTTGCAGAGAGACCAGCTGTAAATAATGCATTGCTAGCACGGTGCACATGTGTGCATTTCAATCCTCCTTTCTATTGCACATGTCCGTATAACCATCCGTTACGGGGGGTGGTGTTTGTTTAACGTATACACGTGAATGCAAGAGCTTTCCAATGTCAGGCTTGCCACAATGTTTTTTGTGCTTTACCAAATACTAAGTTAATGTTTTTCCTTTTTTGTTTAATTGTTGTTATTTGCCATTTCTTTTTGCTCCACATTCCACTCAGACATGGTAAAAGTGGCTGACAAAAACGTTTAGCTACTGATGGCAAACTGTCTGTACCAAAGACCCATTTGTGTTGTGCATGCAGTAGTTGCACTGTTGTGTACCATTTTATAGGTGTACCCAGTACAACATATACTTATATATGACAAGCGGCTGGGCACACTGTGGAATTGTTCTGTATGGTATTGAGGGCACTTATTCCGATATAGTAGTCAACTGTGTGTAAACAAAATACCAAAGATTAATGATGTACTAAATGTGAGTGAACTGGGTATTGAAGATTACAGAATTGAATAAGTGTGCATTAATACAACCGGGGTGCAGTACCTAAGGTACCACTTTTGGTTCAGAGGCAAGCCACCAAAGATATTGAACTGTTGTAAATATCCTTTTTCCGTACCAAGGATATCAAAGGTTGGGTCAGCTGCGCAAGAATGAAGTTATATTTCGTGTAAAAGGAGGAAGCTTTACCCAAAGATTTAAACTCAATTATATTACAAGAATTGTTACACAAATGGAATAATGTGTGTGTGTGTGTGTGCGTATGTACAAAACAATAACCAATTGTCGCTATACTTACCTATATTATCATCTCCTTGGAGTGGGCTACAGTAGGACAGCTCCTTTGCAGACCACCTGTTTAGCGTAAACTCTGACTGAAGCATGAAGTTATTTTACTGACCCTTTGCACGAAGTACTATTGCGCGCTAAGGACAGCGAATTCATTTCATAGGTGGCAACAATTTGTAATGGAAAAAAAAAACTGACCTCTAAATTTGTGTTGTATTTGCCTGGATGCCAAGGGGTACACTGTAGTCAGATCTTCCGGACGCATATTTGACATGTTTGTACAGTGCTGATCACACTTGTCTATAACGCAAGAGCGCGCGTGGCTGTCTCCGGCGAGCGCCAGACTGGTGGCATTGGCGGCAACTAATCTGGACACGTGGCCAACGTTGAACGGTCCTAACCTCTCGTTCCGTGGCGCTCGAGCCGTGTCCTAACCACGGTCCCAAACTCTCGATCGGGCAAGAGGCTGCTTGAACGCTTCGCGCCTACTTTGTTTTGCATATCGGTTGCACGCTATCGTGCGCATATCAACAGAGAGTTTTTGCAGACCGTTTTCGCCGTCCCACAATGCTCTCCGCAACCCGCTCGGTACCCGGAACTCCACAGTCTCCAGGCCACCGGCGCGCAGGCGCAGTAGCGGCTTCTTCGTTACGGAGGGCTTCGCGGAGGGGGAAACGCGGCCTACGAAAACTCCCTAATAACTCTCTTCTCCCCGCATCTTGTTGATAAGCTCTGCATTTTTGTTCTCTATCGCTACGGCGGCGTTAGCGAAGAGCACGCAAGCAGCCTTTTACACGGTAAGCGGCGCCCCACATCGAGTGGGCAGGACGGCAGGACACTTCTCGGGTGGACGCGTTCCATGTTACCCACGTGACTAGATTAGTTGCCGCAAATGTCGCCAGTGTAGCGCTCGCCGGAGAAAGCCGCGCGCTCTGTAATTAGCGTTCGTTGACCACATATGAAGAATCTATGTAGATGCGCAGTAGTGCGTCTTAGTAATGCTGGTGAAAGCTCTTCTAGAAGTCGCAAACAAAGTTTTTGGTGTGGTGTACCCGCTAGGTTATATCCCAATCTTGCGTATGGTCCTAGTTGCGAGTCGCGTGTCTATGCCGACTTCCGGCTGAAATCGTTCACGATCGAAACGTGCGACAAAGCAAGTGTGTATTGCTAGGCTCGAAATTTCGAGCAAGTATGCCTCAGTTTAGCACTTCTTGCCTAGCAGGAAAGGAGGTGAAACCCACTGCGGTAAAAAGAAACAATCTTGATCTATCTGTGATGTTGAAGGTGACATTAAAAGTGCTACGGTTGCACATGGTTCAGTCGACGCTTCTACGCGGTTGTGTGCATGAGCGACTCTGTCATCGAGAGCCGAAGTCAGTGTAGCTTTAAATATCTTACGAGTAGACAGTAGAGGCTATAGAAGTAAACGTGAGCTGAAGTATCTATAAAAACGAAAAGAAAAACATAACGCGCTTGCAGTGCTTTTAGCACAAGCCTAAAACTTTCTGAAATGCTGTGGTGTCGCAGTTCTTTGAACCCACTGCCAAGGTGACAACAAACGAGTGACGGTAAATTTTGCCGGGCTAAAAAAAAAAAAAAAACTTGCCTTACTGTTGCTCTCCTAGTCTAAGCTTTGTCTTGAGTTGGGCTCGGATCCTTTTTGCCTGCTGAACTGTGAATGTGGCTGTCTGCAACGGGAGATGCCCCAACCCCGATGAAACTCAAAGAACGTATAGTATACAGTACTTAATCTCCGGTTATTTCCACTCGCAAAACTGCATTTGGAAACCCGCTCAGCGTGGACGCGCGGGTAGAGGTGGTTTGTGGGATCCTGAGCTTGCAGACGGCCGTTGCGTGAATATCTGTGTCTGTACGCAACAGCAGACGTGTTGTCGCGTGCTTGAAGACATTCAACCAAGTACTCCCTCCATGTAACCAGAGTAAAATGTGTTCTCGGAGCAGAAATGTTTTGTTTTCTGACTTGACAACGTCGGAGGTGTAAAATGGTAAAATGGCCGAGTTTCACTTAAGTCCGACCGCGTGCCGAACGATCCGATCCGATGGAGTGAATCGAGCTGCGCCAAAAGTGATTCGTCTTGGCGCTCGTTGTCTTTGTGCGTTTGGCATCATTAACTTAAACAATCGCACAAAAAACAAAAAAACAAAAAAAAAACTGCGTAAGATCGTGGCGTATCCACTGTGCGTGATCGGTTCAATCCAAACGCACATATAGACGACGTATGCCTTGACGATACAGTTTCGACGCTGTTTGATTGGCTCTATTAGGTCGTGGCCACGTTGGAAGAAACACATTTAGGTGATGACTCTGGCCGTTCTTCCCGCGGAGAGCGAGCGACCAGATCGTGTTCGGAGCTAGCCCCTAAACAGGAATAGTTAGTTCCGCGCCACCGTGGAGGGCGCTGCGGTATGAGGTCCCTCCCCGGCGGCCACGGTGTCGGCGGCGTAGCGTGCTCACCTTTTTCGTGGTGTGGTGGTGGTGTGCGGCCAGTGGCTGGCCTCGTGTTTTGCTTTGGTGCTGTGTCTATCACAGGTGCCACCATCGTGCGCGAAGGTGAGCCTTAAAGGAGCTGTGCAACGATATTCAATTGGAATGTTTTTCACTTCACACGAGCTTACTGGCACACCTGGGACTCAAGGATACTCACACTAAACGCCGCTGGCCAAGAAACTCCTTCGTTGCGGTGTAATTTCAAGGACAAAAGCGATCATTTTCATTCAATCTCTCCTTTGCAAAATTGGATGACGTAACGTGGGGATCGCAGTACACTCAAGTGACGATATTTAAATGCGGTTCATAGATTGGACCCGAGCATTGCTTGGGCACTCGACTTGGGCTCGTGATGATTGCTAGCTCGAGAAGCATTCGGGTAGTGACCCGTGTCCAATCGCTGCAACGACGACAACAGCCGAGCCATAACAATGTCTGGAACTCAGCGCGTGTCCTGCGCTTTGCCAACCCCAGCGCGTGTCTATGATCAACACTGGCGGCATATAATCAACACTGGCGGCATATAATCGGCTCCAGATCACGTGGGCGCTTGTTCTGGCTGCGAGTTGAGGGGGTGAACGCTGCTCGGTTTTCTTTCATTTTTTTTCTGGGACTTCTATTGCGTGGGGTGAAAACGAACGCGTGTTTCATAGGTCATTAACGTTAGGGATCCGTTTTAAGCGGTATTTGCGCAAAGTACAAAAATTGTTGCATCGCTCCTTTAACCCGAGGAAGAAGGAAGAGTACACAGATTTACGGACTCTGGCGACGTGGTGGCGGCGTGGCGACGGTGAGGTACAACAAGAAGCGGTCAGCGAGGGAATGGCGGGACCACCGCTGGTAGAAACAACTGGAGCGGTTGGTTTGGGAGGGACCCCATCCTTGACCGCCATCTATACCCGTGCGAGTGAGGCGCGCTCGGTGCGCCTAATAAATGTCGCCGCCGCATCGGACAGAGAGCCATCACCTAAATGTGTTCCTTCCACCGTGGGTACAACAAGAAGCGGTGAACGAGGGAATGCGAGACTACCGCTGGGAGAAACAACCAGAGCGGTCGGTTTGGGGAGGGGGGGGGGGGGGGACCTCGTATTTGGGAGCCGTCTATCCCCATGCGAGTGAAGCGCTTGGTGCGCCGATCATAATGTGGCCGCCGCGTCAGGCAGAGTCCACCTAAATGTGTTTCTTCCCCCGTGGTCGTGGCGTAATAAGTGGGCAGACGCAAGGCAAGTAAGACACTGTTGCATTCATAAACTATCGAGTCCGAATGAAACGCGAAGGGGCCACGCGCTCCGCCATTGGCGTTTTCGTTCGGGCTCGACACAGAACGTCACAGGGCGTCACCCCAATGTCGTAGCGATGTACGCCCCTTTGGAAAGTCGCGTGCCGATGATTGGAAGATTGGAGCCGCCACACCATGGCGGAACAACTGACATCGGGGAACGTGCAAGCAATTCCGTAAGATGGCGAACTTCGGAGCGCGGCCAACGCTATAGGAGCCGACGACCCAATCAAAGAACGTTAAAGTGCAACGTCACTGCGCTCATCAGCTCTTTTTAAGATGATGTTTTTGCCTTCTAGTCCGACCAAGCGCATAAAGGCCGAACCACGTATGGCGTATTTTCGACGTATTTACGGGCGTTTTGACGAACGTAATCGGGAAGAGCGCTTCCTCGGCACTTGAAGGTTGGCGTAAATGGGCGCGTATTCGGCGATGCCGATACGTTGCGGATTTAGTCCGCCATTGTGCAGGGATTCCCACAGCTGCCAAGTTCCATAGCCTTTTGAAAGGCTGCCCTTTGTCGGGAAACAAATTATGGAACCGACAGAAATAAAAAAAGAACTCGGGGAGGGTTGTCCCCCATCGCCTCTGCTCTTTATGATATACCTGAGTAGAATGGAAAAGAAATCGACCTATGGGACTAGCCAGCTTGGCTACGCCACGGCTGCTGCAATGCATCGAGGGAACTTTAGTCTTCCTGCGCTTGCGACAACCTTGCTAGAGCTCTGCGCGTGCAGGGCACGAACAGTCTCGTGCGCTGCCGATTGCCTCCTGTCAACGTTACTAAAACACTCAGTTGGGAAACTCGCCGTCAAAACTTGGGCCGCTGGCGTCCACTGAGACCGAGCTAAATATGACAACAGCGCCACTCTTTATCATTTGTCTGTACTGTGGTCACCTTGAGCTTTTAGAAAGCATGTTCTTGCGTAAAAACAAACGGAAAATACTCTTTTTGTAGTAACTTTTATTGGAGTTTAGTACAAAACGAACGGCGCGTGATGTTTTTAAAATCTAGTTTGCAAGGTTTTGCGGCACAATTAATATTGTTTTTATACAACCATGCCTCAGCGGTGCTTTCAGGCAGAGCCGTATATGTAGAGAGTTTGGCCATTCGTTGGGAAGTATAGGAGACAAATGAAGCGGCGCCATTGGCCGAAAGCGGGCTGGGCGTGTTCCAGGGCGTCTTCAGAAATTCGAATGTGACCAACCAGAAGCCGGAAATAATACCCTGGCGGTGGTCGCGAAAAACAAACCTGATAACTGCATTGGAGTAACTCTCGATGGCTGAAAATATGGTACACGTGATGTTTCAATCACATTAATCTAAAATGATGGTGGAAGAGTGTGACTAGCGGAAAGATCGACATAATCCTTACGCCAAACGCCGAGCGCCGGGAATCTGCCGTCAGAGCGGTCACACTCTGTCCGCGCAAAACAGAGTTGAGCGGCGCATTCGTTTCTTACATCTTTCTGCATGATCATGATGAAACAAGACGTAAACCCTATTTTCAACCACAAAGAGTTACTACACTTCACTCTTACGCACTTATTAAGACCATATACGAACAGAGACCTTCGATGATCGATCGGCTCAGAACTGTTTCTCGCTACCACCGCTAGGGGATTCTTTTCGGCTTCTGGTTGGTCAAGAGAGCATGCCAAGCCCTCTTTCCGAGTCTGCCGCACGCCCTGGCTCTGCCCGCGCCTCCCATTGACCGAACTCTCTACATATACGGCTCTGCTTTCAGGTAGCGCGTCCCGACCTAGGTGCATTTTAACTTCGGTAGTAACACGCGGTGCGTCTGCTGGGGAGACGGGGGTGGCACCCCTGTAACCTCTTCCACAGTAGGTATCTGTTTCGGTGCCAAAATGGCCGATTAAAGCCAAAATAGAAGTAACGTGCGGTTCCTCGAATGGCCGCTGCGGGAGAAATGGTGGCGTTGTGTTCGTCATTAGCTCGGTGCTCGAGGACAAATTGGGGCCACTCTTTCAAAGCAGTCTCTATGGCAGTTTCCCAACTGAGTGGTTTAATAACGTTGCCTCCTGTGAACTAATGTTATGGCGGCGTCACGCATGCGCCAAACGCTTGGTGAGATTGGTCTATTAGATTTAGGCTTTGATCTGTCATATGTGGAGAGCTATAGGGGAAAAAGTAAATCAAGTTATACCCGGAATGTTCTACGCAGACTACATTGTACTGTTAGCAGATAGGCTAGGAGCTGATTAAGATCTATGGAGAGAAAGGAGACTCTCTGGGTCTGAAATTCAGTTGCGACAAGTCGGAAATAATTCAAGACGTTTTAATATAACACGTAGAGAAGCATAAATACCCTGGAGTACGGCTGAGTGAGGGAAAGCAATACTTAGAAGAACAGGAAGGAAATATGCTAAAGAAAGGGGGAAAAATGCAGCAAGTATAAAGCATAGTTCACTATGGAATTACATTACATATGAAATTGTTAGGGGAATATGGAAATGAGTCATGGTGGCCAGGGTCGTCTTTTGGCAATGCGGTATTATGCGTGAAATCCAAGGTCCAGTCGAGTCATTTTCAATGCATAAAAAATCAGAACTCCAATTTTTTTTTTTTTTGCTAAATAATGTTGCGTGCGAATAGCTGAGTCAGCAGCGTGCTGGACTCCCACGCATAAAAAATCAAAACTCCATTTTTTTTTTTTTTTTGCCTTTGCTAAATATTGTTGTGTGCGAATAGCTGAGAGTGCTGGACTCCCACGCCGCTTACTGGGGCTTGATCCCCGCCAACGCTTTTCCTTTTTATCTTTTTTTTGTTTGCCATGACTGGAAAGTTCCAAATAACTCGAGCATTTTGTTGTTTGTTCGAGCTCAGAAACTTCTAGATACCCACGCGCTTACAGAAAGAGCTTCGCACGGCTGCTTGAGGGAGAGAGAGGGAGAGAAATGCTTTATTCATACAACTGAGGTCCAAGTCGTGCTTTTGTTTACGTCGTGGCGGCTTCGGGGGAGCTTGTGGCTTGGAGCACCTGGCTTGGTGTCGATAACGGTTCTGTCTGCTCGGGTTCCAGGATGGTGGGGATGTGTGTGGCGAGGAGCGGCCACAATGGGGTTTGAAAGTACGTAGGGCGGTCCAATTCCGTCAGGTGTGTAGGATATAGGAAGCGAGCATGCCGGCCGTGTCGCGGCGGTCGCCTATTGTTC